GGGGGGGGGAGTCCAACTGGGTCCACTCGGCACGGCAGCCACTGATTGGCCTATTGTAGCCTGCCCCGGGTGATTATGATGTTGGAGAATTTGGTGAAATGAAGATTGGCAGGGGAAACCGAAGTATTCGGAGAAAACCCGCCCCAGCGCCACTTTGTCCACCACAAATCCCACTTGACCAGACCCGGGATCGAACCCAGGCCGCCGCGGTGGGAAGCCAGCGACTAACCGCTTGAGCTATGGCATGGTCCAGTAGAAGAGTTAGTCATTTATAATGATTCCTGGCTATATGCATGCCTAATCCCAGAGGTGTGCAGGTGTAACAAGCCAGAATTTGCCGTTCTGGGGCTCGTCAACGCAAGTCGACATTGTTACTAGAACGGGCCCCACATACAGCCGTTCTCACATTCTTAGAAGCTATTAAAGCAACCAGAAACTCTCCTCCTTTCGTGGGATTTGAATACCCCGGTCACTAAATTCCGTCTTCAGCTACTTAAATACAATCCATGTCTTCGTATTGTTCCTCTGATATCTAGTTTAATGTTAGCTTCCTCTCTGTGCGTCCGTCTGTAAGTCGTCCCATCTTTTTGAGTGTTCCAAACAATAACGTATATCCTGTACATTTCTCATTTCCGCCAACTCCAAGTTTTAATGTTATTGTTGCTGTTACTACGAAAAGTGCACCTTCTAGGGTGTCCTGCCGTGTAATCTGGTAGAAATTTAGAAACGTTTCCGAGAAACGTATTGCTTCCATCTTCGTGTCTGAAGGCTAATGCGAGCATGGAGCACAAAAGGGCAAGTTTGTTTCTTGCTTGATGGTCTTAGCATTCGACCCTGAAGATCGAAGCAGTACGTGACTCCTAAACGTCTGTAAACTTATATCAGACTATATGATGTCTATTTGATCGTTTATACATGGGTTTTGATGATATCTGTTCTTTCTCAAAGATATAAAATAATTCACTATGAAACAAATACATAGTAGTGAAAGTTATTTCTATTGTAAATATTAGTAAATTATACCAGCCTATTTATAATTTTATCTCGATCGTGAAATGCTTGCACGCAGGACAATAAATATTAATTATCTGCTTACTGCAGTTAGTCGCTGGCTTCCCAACGCGGCGACCCGGGTTCGATACCGGGTCCGATCAAGTGAGATTTATGGTGGACAAAGTGGCGCCGGAGCAGGATTTCTCCGAGTACTTCGGTTTCCCCTGCCAATCTTCATTCCACCTATTGCTCCACAATCACCCTCACCTATCATCTGGGGCTGGTGCAATAGGCCAGAAGTGGCCGCAGTACAAGGGACTTAGTCCCACCCCACTAGCAATAAAAACATTATCTGCCAAAGTACTAATACTAACACAGTAACAATTTCTTTCTTTCTTTCTGAGACCGCATATTTCTCCTGCTTAAGTAGAGTGTATGAATGACGTGGCAGAACCGAAAGCCCACCATTTCACAGTACAGTATTCCTCTTAACGCCTTCCCAGTCTTTTGTACGGGTTTTCATGTGGTGATTTATCTAATTTATTGATGTATTTCGAGTCATAAGCGAAACGTATTGTAGCTTCCTTGATTTCACTGTCCTAACGATATTAGTTTACCCATTTAATGATCAATCCCACTTTTATGCAATGTAATAAGTTGGTAACGTATTCAGTCCACCTACATCCAAATATTTCCTGAGCAGTCGATTCTGAAACGTGTGCGTGCGTGCGTGCGTGCGTGTGTGTGTCAGTGACAGTTCATGTTTCACATTCGTGAAGAATTGTAAAAGATATTTTATAGGCCCTATTCTGGGTACCAGGGGCTATTTCCCCGGAATTAAAGCGACAGGGGCATGAAACTAACCAATCGCCTGCATCTAGTTCAGAGGTTAAGGATGGTAGAGCTATACCTCCACTCCCCATACGTCTTCAAGTCGTGCTGCATAATTAATTAAGCCCAGGGATAACTTTACTTTATTTTACATTTCATATCTACACAGACAAGTCTTGTGTGCTATACATATGTATGTATGTATGTATGTATGTGTGTGTGTTTTGTGTGCATGTAAAGAGTTCGTTTTGGGAAAGCATCAAAATATCAAATAAAACTCACATCTTCTGTAGTAGCTGACTTGATACGTTGTCTTCATTCGGTCTTTATACACTCTGTCTATCAGTTTGTCATTTTCTTCACTCCAGGCGTCCCGGTGTTGAGAGCAGTCAACATTACGTTTCATTACACAACCTCTTGCATAAGTGGCCGGACCAGATATAAATACCAAGATGCGGACGGAGAGTTCGGGTCGATATCGCTTGGACCCACCTCGGCTGGAGACAGGTACAGGCCGTTGTGAGGAGACGACGCGAAGCTCTCCACAGACTTGACTGCAGCCATCTGCTCACGCTAGTTCCTCGCCCTCGGATTTTTATACCCTGAAGATGGGAGCGATACCTTCCTCCGAAATGTCGGTCTACACAATATCTACACGGTGCCACATCCCAGAAGACAGCATTCTTCATAGTCACCGCCGTGAAAACCTCAAATCTTACAAATATGGGAGTGTTTTGAGAAATAAAAGGGAATACCTCATGAGGTCATATCTGTCCATCTGTCAGTTCATCCGTTTGTCTTCTGTCTGTCAAAGTCACATTGCGACTGACGGTTGGTCAGTCTGTCTGACTTGGTGTCGAGCCCCAGCTGCGGCTCATAACCTGATGTTTCTTCTTATATGAAAGTTAGTGTCCTGTCCATGTTGGGCGCCCTCTCTGACGAGAGGTCGGGTCTGTCATTTGTCAGTCGAGCGATCTTCAAAATGTTTCCGCGCTTTTATATTTTCGAAGAAAACGGGAAGAGCGGGAGTGGTGGGTGGGTGGGGGATTGTAGGGTGTCATGTGACTAGTCGGCAAGACAAGCCTGTTGACCTTGCAGTTAGGGAAGCGATGAACGTGGCAGAGAAACTTGGGAGTTGCACCAAGGAGCAACGATCTATGAGATGAATGTTTTGTGGGCAGAAGGTGCACCAGGTGGACAATTTCATCAGCGCATTTACGCCCAGTATGGGGACAATGCTCTCTAGAGTTGTGTACGAGTGGATTGAAATGTTTAAAAATGGGCGTACGAATGTGATTGATGCAGAGCTCTTGGGTCGTCCAGCCACAGCCGCACAGACTAAAGAAAGAACTAGGGAACTGGTTCTTCAAAACAGTCGACAAAATTGCAAAACAACTGAATAACAGGACTGGGTCTGCACATTCAGTGATGCATGATAACTTTCAATTCCGTAAGGTGTGTACCAGGTGGGTACCTAAGGAACTGGCGGATGAGCATAAGCGCATGCGCTCAGGCCAGCAATACATGGCCGGCATTTTGTAGTCGAAGTGGACTGCAACGTATAGTTAATTTGCAGTTCGTAAACGTTGCATGTCAACTGCATTTTGCAGTTCTCACGGTTGCAACTTTATTCGTCAGTTAAGCAATGGATTTCGCAGAAGAAGTATTGCTGCTCCTACTGTTGCTTAGTCCACGTAATCAAATACAAACTATGAAGTGCTTACCTATTTCACTTTTCTCCTTGTTGCTCTTTTTAGTGAAATTCGCTGAAAACTTTTCACAAATTGTTGCCCATGCATTGTTTCGTTCAATTCGATTACTATACGACTCACTCCTGCAGTTCGAAATGCATGAGTGGCTCTTTATTTCACTAATAAATGCATTTCTGTCGAAGGAATCGCATTCGACATCCATCTTGTACCTCCCACAGCTGATTTAACCCGGCCTCAGCTACCAGCATCTCACAGTAACAGCTCAAACACCAGCACCCAAGCGGTTATCTAACTCACTCACCAACTAACTAACTAACTAACTAACACTCTCCTCAAAATCAAAGTGGAAAGTTATGTTACGACCGACGGTAAGTCGGCCATTCTTTCATGGTGTCAAGCTCCCATCTGGGGCCAAAGACTAGATTTGTATTACTGTAACAAAGTTGCGATTTTGTTGAAGTTGGGCGCCCTCTCTGACGAGAAGACGGCTTGCTATCGCCAGCGCAATCATATTTACTGCTATGAACTCTAACGGCCATTTTCTTTAATTCTATCCTCACTAACTTATCCTGCTTGCAACATCTCGGCACGGACCGCATAGTATACATCGTTCCTTTGTGGAAATGTAATTTCTACCGTGGAAATATGCTTGTTTGTGCAGCCATTACTGCTGTTGTGCTGTTTTCATTTCGCGGTCGTTACCGAGAAACGGGTCTACATGCAACTGAAGGAGCAGCAATGCTTCTTCTTCGAAATTCATTTCTTCACTAACAAATAAATTTGCAGCCGTTAGAACTGCAAAATGCGTTAGACCCGTTGTTAGGTAATGGCCCGTACACACGCAATAGACGAACGCGTCACGTCCGCGGTGATGTCATGCAATAGAAGAGATGTGTAAGCGGTGTTCTCTGTGGCTTTACTCCGAGACTATATAACTTGAACAACCGAGTTCAGTTCAGTTCAGCTAGTGAGTACAGCAGATTGAGTTGGCTGATGAGAAGTCAATTACAAGACTACTGCAGTTCAGTCGTTGTGAGCCACTGTTGTTAGGCGCTGGTTGCTGAGGCACGGGTATAGTTCGGGAACCCAGACTAAGCGGAACGTCCACCGTTAGAAGCCGTTACCAGGCAACGCCTGGTAAAGACACAGCAGACTGACAAGACGTTATGCGTGCTCTAGTGAATTGTAGAGTATGCGAATTGGCGATAGCCCTATAGCTACTTGTAGTTAGTAACTATAAGCGATCAATAAATCCAATTATCAATCCTAACCCCGTCTATAGTCTAACACGTGACACTATCTTACATCTCTATTCAATTAAGTCGTTATTGTGCTGCGTTAAAAGGCAAGAGCCGCAGCCCACAGTCCGCAGCAAGCGCTGCTTGCAGGCAGAATTAATTCTGCCAACAGACTCTCCATAGTTTGTTTAGATGAGCTTCTGGAACCACGTTTTTATTCAGTATCGGATGTTATTATTGGACTGTGAACACGACAAGCGGAACCCTTAGCATTAACATTAAATTCACAGCGTGATAGATGTTTAGGTCAGTCATTCAGAGATGGCAGAACAAGTTTCGATATTACACATGAAAAAAAGTGTAAGGATGCAAGATAAAATTATCCCTCGGCTTAATTAATTAAGCATCACGCCATGAAGACATGCAGGGAAGGAGGGGGAGTGAAGCTATTAGCTCCACAATTTTTAACCATGGCACTAGTTGGAGATGAGTGGTCAGCTTCCCGCCCCTGTCGCTTTGCCTCCAGGGAGACAGTCCCTGTACCTGTCGCCTAGGAAGTTCTGTGGGCCCCAGAGCTGGTCTGGGCATTATGGAGAAGAGAAAAGCATTTTGCCCCGTGGAAATGGAAGCCCAATTTATCGCTTTCCAGTCTGTAGCCAAGCCGCTATACCAACCGAGCTATCCCCGCTTCCAGAAAAAAAAACGGAAAGATTTAAAATGTCAACAAAATGAAATGGTTATTTCTGAGCGATAATGGGTCGTAAATGAGCGGAAGATATTAAAGAAGAACTGGGGATAATGTCAGAACAATAATAAAAACAAAGTAGGTGGATAGATGATTTGGGTAGCGTGCCTAAATCTTTATTCCGATGTCGCTACATCGATAAAAATTGCGGAGCGTGGCAGGAAGTTGGAGGAAATGGCTGACAGAATCATGTAGGGAACTAAAGTATTCTTGCAACGCAAACAAACTAATACCTGGATGTTGATTGCTGATGATGATGGTGACGAAGTTAATAGCTTCACTTATTGTGGATTCGACCTTCGATCTCTTTTAATCGAAGTATTTTATAGAGAAATAAAAGCGGCCATTTCGTTCGCCGCGTCATTTCTTGGGCCTGTATATGAGCGCGTATCCGCCTCTCCCACGTTAAGTTTAATTTAATGTCATTTATCTTTAAAACATCCGAATCTCCACAACGTCCAGAATTAATCTGTAGTTCATCCTGTTCTTTCATTCACTCCTGTGCTCCCGCTTAGTAAGGTAAAGTTGTCCTTGCAATCAACGAATTAAGCACTACGCCATGAAGGCGTATGGGGGAGTGAATGTATAGATCCACATTTTCTTGACCTCGGTACTAGCTGGAGGCCCCGGCCTCTTTACCCCTCGTGCCCACTGGATAGGAGGTTGGGTGGACCCCAGAGCCGGTCTGAATGATTTGGAGAAAATTCTTGACCCTACCGGGACTCGAACTCTGACCACTCCGCCGTCCAGTCTGTAGCCAGTCGCTATACCGTCTATGCTACTCCGGCTCCGCTCCAGCTTAGTAATTAAATTATTTACTTCGGTTATTATAAATATATAAGCTTATTATTCAAATGGATGGCGGGAACTCTTTCCTCAGAACAGCAGCAAACGGAATAGAGACAATGGCACTTAAACAACCACCTTACAAAATAAATGAGTAAGATCAAGTAATGAAGCTTCTAGTGACTAGTGCATCTTTTCGATGTTGGCCGTGAAATTACACGTATTATTCTGACTGAACCTTAGATTCCTTTCTGAGTTCCTTTGGTGGATGCTGGGATAGTGCATTAAAATAGGCCACGACTGCTTCCTTCTACATCCTTCATAGTCCACAATTAATCAATCACCGCTATAACTCTATTTACAGAAAGTGTCGATGAATGGAAACATACGAATAAATAATTAAAACACATCAGCCAAAGCGTTACCAAGGTTGAAGGTGCACTTTCACATGTTAGTTAAGAAAACAGATAGTTTTAAGTCTTTTTTTCTACACATATGTACAGAGGGAATTTTAAATTTATTTCCCCTTTACTTCTAGTTCTTTCTTTACCTTAGAAAATTCTGTGACACTATTGGAATTTATATTAAACATTTTGAAAATTAGAACGCTTGTCAGCAACTGCAAGTAATACCAGGTTGAATTAAAGGGGTGAGCATTTGAGTTCCTTATGCATATCATAAATTTCCGATTACTAACATCAGGCTGACAGGAAAATATCACGCTGACTTCTTCCAGGCACAGAAAAACACTTTCAAACCATAATCCTGCCCTTTTGCTAGAAAGTTCCCCATCACTGAGGGACCCTGCATTTGTGTCTGACACAAGTAAATCACATACTGCACTGCACAAGCATGTATTAAAAATCATGTTTTCGGAGAAATGGATATGACCTTTCTATCTTATGCTCAGATTGTATACTGTGTGCAATTTCCTACTTGACCTCATCCGACTCTTTGCGCTAGTGTTGCACTCTTCCTGCTCATGCGCCAGTTTACTCAAGATGGCTGACAAAGGAAGACTGTCTGCAGAGCAACACATAAAAACAGTGTTGTTCTTTTCTGAAACAAGAAGTGTTATGGTCACACAGAGGCATTGTCTTGCCCATTTTCAAACACGCGTTCATATAAAACAATTCATACATTTTATAACCAGTTTAATAATGACGGTTCAGTGTTGGAGAGGAAACGTCGCCAGCTTTCATCTGTGCATTGCCTGGAGAACACTGACAAGAAGCCGCAGTTAACCAACAAGGAAGGCTGCAGCAAAACTAGGGATATCCATACGATCAGCACAACAAGTATTGAAAAGTGACTTGAATCTATATCCCTACAAAATGATAGTGTTACCTAAACTTACAGATCAAAACAAACTTCAAAGAATAGCATTTGCTGAATGGGCTCAGAATAATGAGGTAGTGTTCAATAATGTTTGGTTTTCTGATGAGGCACACTTCCACTTGAATTGTCTGGTTAATAAACAAACTGAGCATTTTTGGGAGTCAGATAATCCACGTATGATTCATGAGAAGGTGCTTCATGCACTGAGAATTACAGTGTGGGTCACCATCCCAAGTCATGGACTGCTAGGGCCAATTTTCTTTGAAGAGAGACAGTTAAGATTGAGCACTATTTAAGCATGTTGTACAATTCTTTCATGGTTCACCTTCTTGCTACAGGTCTGCTATTACAAACTCAGTGATTCATGCACGATGGAGCGAGGCCACACAGTGAGAATGTTGTTTTGGACTTTCTGGATGACATTTTCGACTCAATTTTTCAATTGAAGAATACTTCAATTCTTGAATACTTGTACTTGGAATCACTTGTTGATCTGAAGGTGATGGATTGCCTTATGCAAGCCACCTCCAAGAGCGTCAGGATGAACTATGAGGCAGATTTAGTATGCACTTGCCAGTGGAACCAACAGCGACATGTTTTGGCATCCACTTAATACCAAAGATATCAGAAAGATCTCTGCCTCTACTGTTGAACACTTCAAGCTTGAAGACACTGCAGCAGTGGAAATAGAAACCATAAACCTGCACTGTGATGTCAAATTTTGGAATAAGGCAGATGAAAGCACTTATCCGCTAATATGTGAGACTAAATAATATATTGAGGGACCATAAGATGATATTACTGCTGCTAACACGAACTTCTGCCACTACATATAAGTACAGTAGAGTCTGTTGATTCATTTCCTGCTTAAAACAAGGTGGCAGCACATGTGACTGTAACATCTTGCTCCAACTGTATTTCTTGTGTACCCAGAAAATGGCAGAGTTGAAAGAACAGCATGTCTACATCATATTTTGCTTTAAATGGGGAAGAATGCTATGTAAATTTTCAAAATACTGGAAGAATCTTTTGGAGAAGAAGGGAGGAACAAGTTTTCGAGAGGTTTTCCAAGTTCACAAGCGATGTGAGCTCTGCTGGAGATGCTGAATATATAGGACATCCATCAGGTAGAACAGATGAAAATGTTGACTGAGTAAAGGATCTTGTCCACAAAAACAGAAGAATCACTATCTGTGAAGTTGCTAACATGCCGAGAATTTCATCTGGGCCAATTCACAGCATTATGAAGGATGATATGAACACATTTTGGATTGCCGCCAAATTTGCGCCCCACTTGGTGAGTGAGCAGCAGAAGGAGAAGCATGTCAAAACATGACAGAATCTTCAAGAGAGGCCTGAAACAGACTCAGAATTCCTTCTGAAGAAAATCACAGGTGATGAGATGTTGGTTTATAGCTATGATAGAACCAAGCAAAAGTCGCCTCAGTGGAAGAGTCCATCATCTCCAGATCCAATAAAACGCAAGACAAATTCACTCAAATATGTAGGTCATGCTCAGTGAGGGCGTGAGTGAGTGCATGTGCACGTACATTCAAGGAGTCATGAACTATGAATCTGTCCCACAACAACTGTAAGACAAAATTAAGACACTGACACCTTATAGCATGTGGGAAAACCTGCAGTAAAATTGACCTGAAATGCCCCTGCTCACTCTACTATAGCTGCACATAAAATAACACGTTCCACACCCTCCCTATTCACCAGATTTAATGACATGTAACTTCTTTATTTTGATTCAAGCAACATCGCTGCATGTACTTGCCAAATTTCAAACAGTAGTCTCATAAAAATCACTTAAAATATCTTACATAATTTCCTCACCAACAGTTCTCACTAATCTATTTTGACAAGAGCCATGGACATCTCCTTGTCACCCCCGCTACTTCAACATGCCTGCTTAAGAAAACAGTTTCAAATAAATGTGATTCTTCTACAGTAGAATTTGTATTTTTACAGAAATAAACAATATATTCGCCAACTTTACAATAGTGCCCTTTCCTTCATTTTACAACAACTTTCTAAACTGCACTCATGTAAAACAAATTACTGATAGTACAGTCTCCAATTCCATTCACATTTATGAGGCAATGCCAATGTTTTAAGTCTGAAGATCGCCTGGTGAGGAACAGAAAAAAGGTGGAATAATATGAAATATTATGCTCGATATCAGGGTTGCAGTGGAAATTTTGTAATCAAACAAGGGGAGGGAGATGTTTCTCCTCCAGTACTTCAGTACTGATTTACAGAGGAATGTTATCTATAGCTTATCACAAAAAATACTTCCACATTTCAAACTAGCCTAAAAGAAAATCAAACTGGCAGTGATGAATAAACTTCTGTTGGGCTGTACTTTAAAAGGTTCTTTTTTAATTTACAAACATCTCAGTGTGCAGGGATATAAAATCAACTTTGAAAACTATAATGGCACAAGATGTAGAGCAGAGCAAATGAGGTATAACAATAATCAGAACTTTGTAAAAAAACTTGAACAAACGCAGTCTACAAAATTCAAATCATATTTAAAAATGCTACTTATATAAAAGGAGGCTGCCAGTTAAGAGGCCATACAACAACCATGCAAGAATCAGAGACGAGGTTAAGATGCAGCATATATAAGGGCCTTCACCCCTTCACTGTGAATGCCAAGGCTGCTTGGTGGTAAATGAGTTGCCCAGAAAAGCCTTCCGTATTTTCCTCGAATGACCTTCAAACAAAAAAAATATTCAATGAGAAAGGTCATTTGTGCCTCTAAAACATCTTTATGCAAAACTTGATGACCTACATGGACAGAAATGCTACAGTGAATGATTAACAAAGAGCTGTCTCTTCAGATAGGGTAGTTCAGATGCAAGTGCCCCGAGCCAATCCAGTCAGTATGTGGTGTGCAAAGGGTTAAAGTTAAGTGACCTAACCGCTTGTAACAGGGAACTTAAATGGCAAAACAAGGAACTTATTTAACCCTTAAACTGATGATAAGAATGCTGCACTGATAAGTCAGTTTGCATATATTGTATGCCATTCACACTGTAAGTAGCAGCAACACATAAATCACAGCTCTTCTAACTTCAGGCTAATCTTCAATTATTTGTCAAGAGCAAGGAAACACATCTCTCCTTATCATCAGAAATATGGTCATAGAATTTTACACCTCAGTACTTATAAATTCAACAAAGAATGTGTGGCATACTGTTGAATATGGTGTTTCTGGAGACAAACACTGAAAAAAAAGATGAAAGCAGACCATAATGGATGAAGAGCTCATTAAATTTGAAAACAGCTCTTTTCATATAAATACACATATCTCCTGCATGTAATTCACACAAACAATCTATCTTTTCCATTCATGTTTTATTTTAAACCAAAATAAAATAAGAAACGGTTGTATGACAAATGGAAGCAGAATGTTGCCACTTTGCAGCACTACCTCCAACTGTTCTGTGCTCACATGAGGATACAGATAAATGCTCTTCTCCCTTCACACAATCATTTCCTGCAGCGGAATGTTCACAATAATCATTTTTCTCTCATTCCACTTTTTTGGAAAGTTTCCAGGCTCCGATATGATAACGTAACCAGATGAGGAATATATCCTTGCCCATCTGTAACCAACTCAAAACTGGAATCAGTTTAGAACCTGAAAACATATAAAAGACAAAATAAACCTCTACACAGCAAAATTTGAATCCAGCTATTTTTTAATTTTGTACAAGTTCTTTACACATTACAAAGTGCTGTAGGTCACAAGTTTAAAGTATGTAGAGTGTAACTGTAATAAAATGAGTATAGCTTATAAAAGAAACTTCAATATAGTGACAAAAAAGTCAACAGTACCATCCATTTCTTAATGTAATGTATATGGATATATGGTGAGGACTTTCTTGTGCACATTTTCATCATTACAAGTGATTCCTGACTAACAATGATGTTCTTCTGTAATGTTTACACTGACTTTACTTCCAGTTTTGCTTACCAAGTTATTTATAGCAGTCTGTCCATAAAGGTGTCACTAACTGAACATATCCCATCTAGGAAAGGAGAGGAAAGTCCCCATTCGACAACCAAAACAATTCAATCTTAATAAAAAAAATTATAAACACAAATGTACAGAGCTGTTGAAGCTCACAGCTGGCAAACAGACATGACCAGATTCCTCAAAATGTCACACCAAGGCAATATGGTTATTAAGACCACATTTGGTATGACTTGATGGCTTCAAGATTGAGCCCCCCACAAAATTTATCAATGAGAGATGTACATCACATGATGTCATCTGAACTTTTCTTCAGTCCATCAACTCCTTTCTTTGTGCGCTGTGCCACTGGTCAGTGAATGGGAGTTCTATGTGATGGAAGACCAATGACACAAAAAAAATGCAGAGGACGGAGAATGATGATTTGGGATCCATACTCTAGTTGTTTTGGAAGGGAAGATCGGCTGCCATACTGGATGATGGACAAATGACCATGGTATGCTTAAAACTTAATGAACACTTTACTATTTGAAAGCAAGAAAGACTGCTGCTGCAGACAAAGAGATGGGCAACTGTCACTTTACCAACTGAAATATAACAGTGACATGCTTTTAGTGTTGACTCTTCTTGTTCAATTTGAAGACGCTTAATGTAATTTACCTTCAATTTCAGTCCAATTGACTGCTACTTCTGAAATGGGAATTTCGAGTCTCTGAGCTATGTACAGTAATTCTGCATCAAACGCCCTGTAACACACATAAATAAAATTGCAAGGGACATACATTTCATGCTGCAACAACACACAAGCTAGTCAAAAATAAATCAAATGTAAGCATTCATCAAGTGACTTTACTCTCATGAGGGCTATGCATTAGCATTTCTGAGGCAGTTCTCACCTGGCACTTACATGTAACCCATGGAAAACATGTCTTCTGAATTTCATCTGAGAAACCGCAGTGACTCTGTTTGCGTTTCCTTACCCATAATCAGTACTGACTATATTACAGCGTGAAACAGGGCTACAAATAAAACAGACATCGGAACCTTTCACACCTAAAAACAGTGAAAACAATTACAACGAAACCTTGATTTTACACTTTTCAGGGAGCAGCCTAAAATAAACATAAAATCTAAGAAAGCATAAAATCCTGAAAATGAGAATACAATGTGAAGAAAATATGTTTTCTTTATACAGTACCTTTGAAAGACCATTTACAAAATATATATTTGAACATTTAGCTGTGTACAGATGCAGATATGGTTCTTGGTTTATTTTAAGATGCTTTATCAACTGCTGCTGTTATACGGCAGCATGAAGACGAGATGGTGATTATAACTGATAATTGGGAAGGATGAAGAAGAAACACATCATTGCCTATTTCAAAGAATTATCCCAGCAATCACCTGAACAGACTGGCAAATACAGTACATATATAGTTGTACTATTTCTTTAACCATTCAATAAGAGCCTTTTGCTGCTTCTTTTCTTCACCTCTCAGCCTGTATAATTCATTTCAACTTCACTGCACATTACAAACTGTTCTTAGTAGAAAATTGACACATGAACTTTCTGGCTGCTACCAGTCCTCTCTGTGCATCCAAGAATGTTGCTTTATGTTCTGAAACTTCCTCTTCATCTGGCCTAGTCAAATGACTATAAAAGATTCTGGTCTTTACGCAACAGATTTACCATATCGGCATCTAGCAGTAGAAATTATACATGGACACAGATCCCTTATACTTCTAGCATGGTTTCTGATTTACACGAGTCGATGGATGGAAGTCTCCAGTCCGTTGTAAGTATTTTTTCTATAACAATATACTTCAGTATGTGTGTGTCATCTTCAGACTACATAATTAAGATTTAAATGTCAATCACTCAGCAACTTACAGTACATACATGTGAACCACATGAATATATTAGCATTCAAAGAATACCGCCATCTTTGAGCCGACCGTCTAGATAATATGGGGCCCTCAACATCTCAACTCTATGGGCCTTCACGGCCTGGTACAGGGATAGCTTTACTTCCTTTTTACTTTTACATATCAGTTACTGAAACTGTCTTTATAAAATATTGTAACTGGTAAGCATCTAATCACCATGTTGTTAAAGTACGCATTTCTGTGTGGTTATGTTACTTACAGCTCTAAACACATAATACTTACATGGCCTGAAAATGGCACACACCAAAATATCATGTCACAGATAGAAACCATACTCAATACACAGAACAGTAAGTGTGTTGACAAAAGAAAATAAATAATACTGAACTATTAGTAACTTCACACAACAAGAAATTTAAGAAATTTAATTTTTAATTCTAATGCTGTTATCAGGATCCCTGAATCATTACATTAATCTATCATTAATAAATTTTGACTTATAAAGGTTAAAAAAAAGGTAAAGCTATTCCTGTAACAGGCCATGGAGGCCCATAGGGTTGTGAGACATTGAGGCTCCCACATTTTCTAGACAATTGACTCACAGATGACAGTGAGGTTGTCAGCCTTATGCACCAGCCACTCTTTAGCCCCATTAGTACTCATTTCTCTCAGAGGCTGAGTCGACCCCAGGGCCATAGTGCAACTGAAAGGATTAGGTAAACTGAAAAAATCCAATTACCCCATCAGGAATCAAACCCGTGACCTTCTGGCTTGTAGCACAGTGCCTCAACCAACTATGCTACTGCAAGCTCTTCCAACTTCTCTAAAATTTTAATATCTAATTTTATACCTACTTGCTTTTCTTTCAAAAATTCTCACAAATTTAATAGCCATTTCTTGGATTTTGTGTCAGTCTCTCTCCATAAGTGCCCATGCTTTCGCATTAAAGGTCAGGAACGGTTTAAAATATGACTGCTTTCTAGCTCTTTCTGATTGACAACATTCATTTCATGGTCTGACTGCATTCTGAACTGTTTCATATTCTACTACTGACTTCTCACTCAATTATCTTCTGAATTTATTTTACTTCTGAAGGAAATAGGTCTGCCTCTTTAACCAATGTATTAACTTTCATCTAACATTTCTGGCAAGGATACTTGAAATTATGAGAGTTGCCACCTTGCCCATGTTCATTTTCGGTCAATATTCCTTTAGGATAAGGTTCCAGTGATTTAGTTTCTCTCAAATTTTGTCTTCATATTCCCCACATTAACACAGTCTCTGCAAATATTAATGTTTTCATGTCTGGTATTTTGTTCTGTCATCCACGGCCACGGACAGGGCCAAAAAGGAATATCTTGAGAAGATATGTAATGAGATTATGGAATTTCAAAGAACAGGCCGGTATGATTTGATGTACATGAAGACAAAAGAACTAGGATGGAAAGAGAATCATGGGATTCAAAATGTTGGCATCGAAGACTCCCAGGGGAATAGAATAGTAGCTCAGAGGCAAGTGCTGAAAATTTGGGAAAATTATATTTCAGAACTATATGATCGACCTAATCGGCCAGAAACCTTAGAAGTTGAACCGGAAGAAGAAGTAGATACAGACGAGAAAGGACCATATATTTTACAAAGTGAGGTGGAAAAAGCTATCAAGGAAATGAGGAAGGGAAAGGCTACAGGAGATGATGATGTACCTGGAGATGTGCTCAAGTTACTGGGAGAAGGTGGTTTGAAAACACTGACAAAACTAATGAACACCATATATGAAAGTGGAGAGTGGCCCAAGGACTTTACAGAAGTTACAATGATTGCCTTAAAGAAAAAGACAAAAGCTACAAAATGCAGCGACCATCGCACAATAAGTCTTATTGCACATACAGCAAAGATAATAGCAAAGATACTTAAAAGAAGAATTGAAAGGAAAATAGAGGATGTACTTGGAGAAGATCAGTTTGGATTTAGAAGAGGAAAAGGAACCAGGGATGCAATTGGGATGATGAGAATTATAGCGGAACGAACTTTGGAGATAGATGAAGAACTGTGTGTTTGCTTCATAGACTGGCAGAAGGCATTTGACCGGGTAAACTGGACCAAATTAATGCAGATCCTGAAAGAAACAGGTATCGATTGGCATGAAAGAAGATTGATTAGCAAATTGTACATGGATCAGAAAGTTAGAGTACGACTGGACACGGGGGAGACAGGAAGTGTGCAGATTGGAAGAGGAGTTCGACAAGGATGCTGTTTATCACCAATTCTGTTCAACTTGTACAGCGAATGCCTTACCAAGGAAGCTCTGGATGGGCTCGGTGACTTCAAAGTAGGAGGGCAAATTATTCAAACTGTGAAATATGCAGATGACCTTGTGTTAATGGCTAAGGAAGAAACTGTGCTACAGGGCATGATTGATAGACTAATTGAAATTGGAAGGTGCTATGGCATGGAAATGAATGTGGAGAAAACAAAAGTAATGAAAATTTCGAGACAACCAACCCCAGTCACAATAAAGATAGACCAAAAACAAGTGGAGAATGTGAAATGTTTTAAATATTTGGGTAGCTTGTTAACAGATGATGGAAGGTGTACTTGTGAAATTAAATCCAGGATTGCCATGGCAAAAGCTGCATTTAGCAAGAAGAAGAATCTTTTTACCAGCAAATTGGACTTAAATTTGAGGAAGAAACTAGTGAAATGCTACATTTGGAGCATAGCTCTGTATGGGGCTGAAACATGGACACTTAGGGCAGTAGATCAGAAACATCTGGAAAGTTTCGAAATGTGGTGTTGGAGAAGAATGGAGAAGATCAGTTGGACCGATTATGTGAGAAATGAAGAAGTGTTAATTAGAGTCAGTGAGCAGAGGAATATCCTACATGAAATAAGAAAACGGAAGGCTAATTGGATTGGTCATGTTTTACGCAGAAACTGCCTTCTAAAAGAAGCTATCGAAGGAAAGATAGATGGGCGGATAGAAGTGACAAGAAGACGAGGAAGAAGACGTAAGAAGATGCTGGATGACCTTGGGGACAGAAGAGGATACTGTCATTTGAAGGAGAAAGCTCTAGATCGCATTAAGTGGAGGAATTGTTTTGAAAGAGACTGTGGACCTGTCGTCTTGACAGATTACTGATGATGATGATGATCCAAGTTTATCAGCAGTTTCATCAGATCACTAACAGTGCAGCCACTAATTTATGGTTACTGTGAACATACATTCTTAAAACTTCTTTTTCAGGTAACTTTTCAAAAGCAAGATTGTACACCTCTGAATTCAAGACTAAGTAACAACAGTGAGCTTACTTGAATACAATAATTCTATCTTGTTTAAAATTAAGACAGAGAAGTTACACATATTGTGCCCGCTACTTATGCTTCTTAACCCAGACATTCATACTTATGTGACTAAAACATCTCTGAGGGCATATCACAGTGACAGGTAGTAATATCATCATTAAAAAGTAATTTGATTCTGTTTGCAAAGTGATGGGAACCAACACTGCAATACCTGAGATTTCACCAAACAAAGTGGACTCTTCTTCTATACAGTTGCCTACTTGAGGTATGGCACACCCTCAAAGATGCTTTAGACAGCTCACAGTTACTGATATTTAAAACATTTACCATCTCTCTACATGTAAATTGCCAAAGACAAGACGTGCAGTCTCCCTGGTGAAGAGCTTAAAACCACATTGTGTGTCTCTAATTCCGCGTACTGAGAAGAGCCATACTAGGAAGTGGAAGCCATACATGAGAAGGGTTCGAAAATATGAACGAGAGGAGATGGCCTGCTCCTCTAAGTGGGCACGTGAGCCACAGACAATGCCCAGACTTGTAGCAACATTATCTGGTGCTGTCAGGTAGTCAGCTGAAACATAAAAGAGCTGTTCATCTGATGTACACTTGCAATTGTATCCCTAATGTTAAAGTTACAAAGGACACCACACAGAAAAAAATCAGACATACACTATGCTCTGAGTGGGAAGTCTCAGGCAGAAAAGAGTATACAGCCTATACCAAGTGATCACTATGATAGGCTAAAAATTACAGTTTGTTATGATAATACTGTAAACAAAAACATTTCTTCACAATTGAATATTTTTAAATCTAACCTCTTTAACAATGGACTTGCCCATTTAGGATATTTTTCTTTTCTTAAGCAATTCAAATTAAAAGGATCCCTGAAAAATATCTGCACCAAAACTTTCCAAAATTGCCATTACCTTTAACAATATCTTTCAGACTAGATTCAAGCTTTGCAAGGTCAGGAAACTTGGTTGCACCATCAGCATCAGCAAACAGTATCACAGCTCCTCGTGCACTCTGCACCCCCTGCAACATGAGGCTTCACAATTCCTTCACAAGTCGTTGGAACAAAGATAACAGGTCAAGTTGCAACCTAATGCAGATTTGTTTCCATTACAAAATTTCATTTGAGGAAGACCTAGGCACAGATGGAAGAATAATATAAAATTTGTTTCATACAAGAAAGAGCTTGACTCGTCTGGCTCAGTATAGGATCCAGTGGCAGGCTCTAATGGGCATGGTAATGTGCCTTCAGGTTCCATAAAACTACAAATTTCTTGAACAGCTGAATGAATATTAGATTCTCAGGAAGGAATCTGCTCCGTTACATTAAGTACATACTATTACATACTATGATTTGCTTGTACTGATGTGTATTAAGGTGTACAAGATTAATGTGTAATTTTTTGAAAACGCTGTACTGACACTGCAATTTCATATATGGTGATCAGCATATCTTCCCCGATGGCAACATTTCCAAACAAGGTTATATTAGTCACCATGGAAGTATGGTCAAAAACAATATGCTGATATATACTGCCTGCTAGCTATATCAGGCAACTAACAGACCACTGTGTACACATACAGTGTTAACGCCAGTGGAGGAATATCCCGTAGACCAAGTCACCCATAGAATCCACTGGTACCCAAACCCTAGGTATACAACAGCATCAGTAAGTTAATAGTATAGAACCTATGTACATATTACTTTCTGAAAGTATAACAGATCTCTTTCCTAACATTTCTCCTCTAAAATCTGCATGTGTCTTACAGTCCTGAAAACATGGTAAATAATGAATGTTTATGACTATTCAAACAGTAATTCAAAATTACACAAATGGAACGAATGTGAGGTTAAACAGCAGTTGGTATCAATGGTTTCTATGGCAGGAGGATAGTGATATCTGGGTCGCTGTGAAGGATTGGGCATATAGCTAGGATGGAAGAAAAAATTAATTCATACAAAATTTTAGTTGGGAAAACTCTAGGTAAGGGGTCAAGTGAAACTCTAAGGTGGGGAGAGGTGCAACTGCTCATCTCATATAGACTTTATTTTCTGTGTATGTTAATTAGTGTAATTAATATCCAGTACATTATTCCATGCATACACATATGCAATATATATCCATTTTTTAACATAATACAGGATATAATTTACTGCATTAATTGTTAGAAATTGCAGTTCAACATGGCTGCTAGCCTTTTGTAACTGGAGACTAAGCTCGCAGAGGTAAGCTGTTGTTCTAACTCGCCCATGCCAAGCTGATGAAGCAGCTAGGACAGTTATGGCTCATTACAGGTTTAGTTAGTTAGTTAGTTATTAGAGAGGGTGGGTTTCCCCATGCACTTAGACCTGTTGTGGTCCATTGTGCTTCCCTCTATGATTTCTACCAGCCTCTATATCCTACCGGTATTGGTGCTTACCATCAGTCCCGCCCAGCCAGCGAGACCGGCTCTCTACTGGCTGAGAAGTATCTATAATGCTTCCCCCATCTACCGGAGGTATTAGTGACTGCTGTTGGGCGGCAAACGTCCGCAATTTTGCTCAGTGACCTCCTTTGGAGGTATGAGGTTCTTTTACGTGCTGTAAAGCTACGACATGGGACCCACGGCTTAAAGTCCCTCCCGGAGGACTTGTTCCCTGAATTTTTCCGCCCTTAAAAATTCGATGACCTCCGCCAGGAATTTGAACCCGCGTACTACGAGTCATGAGGTGGGAACGTTACCTCTAGACTACGGAGGCCGCTCATTACAGGTTTAAAGTGTTATAATTACATGATGATTAAATTTCATTGGCAGAAATAATTATCCTTGTAAACCCCAAAGCTTAGAGAGAGACAATCCAGCTAATTTAAGGGAAGCAATGTCATCTGAAAGTAACAGTTGAACAATTCTTAGATGGTTATACACAATGGCATCCTTCCAAAAACAGTCATATAATCCTCAAGCTGAATATATGTGATAACTGCACCAGTCTGATACAGATATTATGTATATTATTACTGTAATGATTCAACAACTAAGTTATTTCAAAAGTCAAGCAAGATTAGCTGTGATGTAAAGTGTTACGATTATTGAGAGTAATAATATTAAAGTGGACTCTCACATTGTTAATTCTTCCAACAGTGTTGTGCGAAATAAACTAATTAGTGTTCCTTCTTCAAGGTGTGTAATTAAGAACTAATCAAGTCCTCTTGCCCTGTTCAAGCAAGGTCCATGGACCTCTTCTCTACCCATTCTGACTACCAGTGACTACCATCCACTCCTACTTAAGAGACACTGTTCATAAGCAAGTAATGGCTTACTGGCGCCCATACAGACGCCTGTCTTCCTGGATCTATCATGATATTATTATGACTATAAAGGTCAGTAGAGCATAATAATTTCTATAGTGTCCACAGCAGTTGGAGTGCAAGCATCAGCAGCAACACAGGCCATGACATCAACTGAACTATGTAAGTTAAGATACAAAGTGGCCCCGACATGCGGCTACATTGATGGAGAAGCGAAGGTTGATTACATAGGGTTACATTAAGCTGGATCTTTGAGAAACGGGTTGTCATAATGGGAAGTGGCTGAAACTTTCCCATGATCGTGTCTAGCAGCGGCCTTCTTTATTAGCAAGGTAGTTCTACAATGAGAAAGTTAAACAAGCTGTTAATCCACAGTTTCAACAAATCATTCTGTAATATTTCAAGCATCCCTTAATAGTCCTTCACCAAGGGTAATTTGCCTGCTAATTAATTATCACAAAATACTTCTTACCAATCTAACAGCACCCCCTTTGCCCCTGTTGGTTTCAAGTTCCAAGACTCTAACAGTGTTAGGACCATGCTTCCTGGTGTATTCCCTGGCTACTTGTGCCGTACCATCTTGACTTCCGTCACTGACAACTATAACCTCATATGTAAGAGCAGGCTTTCGTGATTCTAAATACTCCAGACACTCATCCAGCATTGGAAGAACTGAAAGAAAATACAATTGGTCTATTATATCAATCTTTTTTTTATTGCTAGTGGGGTGGGGCTAAGTCCCTTGTACTGCGGCCACTTCTGGTCTATTGTACCAGCCCCAGATGATAGGTGAGGGTGATTGTGGAGCAATTGGTGGAATGAAGATTAGCAGGGGAAACCAAAGTACTCGGAGAAAACCTGACCCAGCGCCACTTTGTCCACCACAAATCCCACTTGACCAGAGACGGTATCGAACCCGGGCTGCCGCGGTGGGAAGCCAGCGACTAACCACTTGAGCTATGGCATGGCCTTATATCAATCTTACTCACTATATAAAATCAAATCGATTCCCTAGTTATAAAATAATAAAAACTCATCACAACAATGAAGACCTGTCATTTGATCTTCATCTTCCAGATGGCATTCTTCCACTAAGCTTACATACCAAAATGAGGTACAGTTCTTTCCCCCCATGTTACCGAACCACCACCGCCATCTCTACTGAAATTTGAATGACTGAATCTTGGATTATTTAACAATATTTTTCTAGCTACACAGGCTATACAGAATCAAATGACACGACAACCACAACTGATGAACTTTCAGAAGACAAGGAAGGAAGCAATATTGGTCTACCTTAGGATATAATCCCCTGGTATCTGCCTGGAGGAAAACTCTTACACCCAAGTTAAAATCCAGCTGCTAATCCTAAAGTAGCAGGTGCCTTCAGACACCTAAGCCAGAAAATGGTGAAAAGATGTCCAGATTTATAAGACCTGGACTTGCTAGCATTTATCTACGAGTAACACAAGTAACGTTAAGTTATACTGTAGCTCATTAGCCATGACTTATACAAAACAACAAAAAAGAACTCCGTGGCTTTAGTCCACAAGTAAACTATACCCAGTGAGCAACTGCCGCTTGTCGGCGAAGTTAGTACCAACTTTAGAGGATTGAGGGTGTCGCATCATCAGTACAATGAATCCCCACAGCCGTTAATTTTGGTTTTTGAGACCGGAGCCACTACTTTTCCATTCAATTAGCTCCTCAATTATCATCACAAGGCTGAGTGGATCCCGTTCCAGACCCACTACTTCTCAGAAAATCTGGTAGCGCCGGGAATCGAACCTGGGATTCCTGGCTGCAGATACAAATCTGCAGCCAGGAATCCTGACCACTAGACCACAGAAGCGGTCAGCCATGACTTATACAAATGAATAAGTTCATTTATACTTACGTCGAATTTCTTCCTCATAAGCTGGTACAACAACACTAAGGTGAATGCTCCATTGATCACTCAGAGAAGGAAATTCACTAGTCTGACCAGATTCTGGATCAAAAAATGACGTTTCTTTCTCTGAACGAAGGACAACAGGACATGGTGTTGTAGTTTTGACTACAAGTATACATAGCTGAAAAAAAAACTGGTATCACTCAAATCTGGAATAAATATATGTCTAGGAGTTTTGTAACAGCTAAATTCTCCCATTTTGCACATTCTATGTAAATTATGATTAGCCTGGAATAAAAGCTCAGCTTGTTCAACATATTACATATTCAACACATATACATCTTGATAAAAAGACCCTTCTTCCATTATCATTTTTTTAATAAATAACCTGGCGGTTCTTCCAGCCTTTACAGTAAGCTTGACAGTGAACAGGTTATGAAGTTAGAAATTCTTGTTAACAAGGAAAATCTACTGAAAATCAACACTGCAAATACCCACATTATAACTAATCAAACTATTACACATAAACTGTGATCAATACATAAGTTGAATAATCATGTACTTATAACATTCTCATATATTTATATTTACATTATATCTTTTATTACAAATTTATAATGAATAGATACTTATTTATATTATATATTGTTTCTGTTATATTGGACTATTGTCTTTATCCTGGGTCCTAAGACCTTGTATTGGATTTGTGGCATGTAAATAAATGAAATGAAATAAAAAAAATTGCACATCTACCAGCTGCTATGTAGCTTCCTTTCAACTTGCAAGATGTCACAAGAATACACACTGTATGAACCTACTAAGCAAAGGGGCATCAGACAACAGTCTGAAAATTACAACATACTCGAGGGTATCGAAATAATATATAATAATACGGTATTTTCAAACCTGCCCATCTGGACTAAATTCCTGTCACTACGGCTAATGTACGAAAGCAGTCTCAGGCCTTGAATTCCAGGAATGTCATTTTCTATTACATTAAAGAGAACACAAAACTATGGTTCTGTACCATCACAACCACCATCCCGAATATTTACTCCACTAACTGAAGCAAGTCGCAAATCCAATAGATTATACAGTTCGTAATATAACTTTTGATTTTAAAATCTGCTCCTTTCCCATCTATTATGGGTGGTAACAACAAAACGTCCTAATTTTGGAACACTGAACTTCATATGTCGCAAAATGAAAAGTAAATATTACCACCGTCAATCACTTAATATGGTATGTTTGTACTTTTCGAACAATGATTCCGTCAACATGCTGCTATGAATATGAACTCAAACGCGTAATGCAATTTCATTTAACCCTAATTACTTACCACGAGAATCGCAATTAATATCAAAATCACAGCACACAAAAGGATATAATATACGTCTAACATCATTAATTAAGAATTAGATTTACAAAAATATATATACATATTTCATAACATAGCACACTACCATACGTGCCAAGCAAGTGCAAGCAAGTAACCCTTATTTTCCGTTGTTTACATCGGCTTGCATGTGGCGAGATCAGAGAGTATGTAATCTTTCTTCTTCCTTTTTTCATACATTATGCTGCCATCTACAAATATTCATATGTAGTGGCTCTATTATTTGGCAGCCACGCCCAAGAACTCAATCGGCAAGAATGTAAGATGTAATTATCATTTGTTAACCAATACATAACCTCACAGCAGCCGACAAGTTCGTGCGTAAACCTGATTTGAAAAGTCTTCGATGCATTTAATTTTTACAGAAATGTCATCCATTATCCTGTTTTTGTCATACTGAACTGTTCAATCTCCAAAATCTGGCCTGACCACCACTTCATTCGTCTTCCCGACTAACATTTCTTCCAGACTTCTCTTGACAAGATTGTTTATGTGGGCCTATCCAGTCATCTTTTATTCTCTGCATATGACAGAAAGGATTAGCTGTGTAATTTTGTACTGAGACTGAAAACGTTCAATGTTTCCCTATTCTCTCTTCCATTGTCTGTACATGTAAACAGAGCTGCCCTCTCTCTTCCGCCCATATCCCTGTCCCTCTGCCAATATTTCACTTCATTATATGGATATTTGTGCTGCCATCACGTTATATAATTTCACTTGTCATGAAAATGTTAATGAAGCATCACGTTAGAGCTGATCTTCACTTAACATAAATTATGAACTGCAGTTGACCTATATAAAAAGTTTGGCATAAAGTAAATACATTTCATTGACATCCGTTTAACACTTAGTGACAAAACATGAAAACAGGAATCATGATGTAAGACACATTTCCCAAAATTTCTGATGCAGTATGATTGTCAAGAAGTCATCTATGAGATGGTGAAAAACAGACACAAGCATCTGTGGCCCAACACAACCTTAGCAGAAGTCTGTATCAGTACAAAAGATACAGACCTGACAGTCTGGTAGGAATTTCTACTTCATACTGTAAAAAATATGTAGGGCTGTACATTTAAACCATCTACACCCGAGGATGAGACTTTATGGCGATTTCAGCCTCAAAAGGACTAGTCTCAGGTACTAATGGCTTCAATTTATGTATTTCTATCTGCTTACCATCACTGAGCCTATGTAGAATAAACTGCTGAGAGAAATAATTCCACTACATATACAAAATGTTGTGGGAATCTACAAGCAGATCAACATTCTCAACTTTCACTAAGTTACTTCTAGGTGTGTTCATTCATTCATCAGTAATCTGTCAGACGACAGGTCCACAGTCTCTTCCAAAACAGTTCCTCCACTTAATGCAATCTAGAGCTTTCTCCTTCAAATAAGAATATCCTCTTCTGTCACCAAGGTCATCCAGCATCTTCTTACGTCTTCTTGCTCGTCTTCTGGTCGCATACATGGTGACTCTGTCTTAAATTCATTTATTCTTCTATACAGGTCTCTTAATATTCTTGTTCTTACTGTTCATTGCAAGCTCATTTTGTCTTTCAGATATTCCCTCTTTCTATTCCTGAAATGCCTGCTGGCTTCACGTCTTACATTGTTCAGATTATCCTTATTGGCTTGGATCCTGTAACCACTGCAATTTGGTTTGCCTCAAAAACAGGATCCAAGTTGACAGCAAAAGTATTAAACATAGAAAGAAGTACAGCGATACACAGAGTAGACAAATGTGCACAATTTCATGAATAAACAAGCCGATAATGGAGAAGTGATTATTGTGAAGCAGCTGCGCTGCTGACGACCAGTGTCCTTAGAGGTAAAGTTGTCCCTGTGCTTAATTAGGCACCATTCTATAATATGCATAAGGGAACACAGGTACAGCTACACACATTCTTAACAATGACATTTAATGGATATGAGTGATCAGCTTCAAACCCAGACCACTTTAGACCAGGGAGAGAGCCCACAGTATCCACTAGTGAGGAAGCTGTGAGGTTCCCAGCCAGTCAGGACACTGTGGAGAAGAGAAAGAACTGTTGACCCTTCAGGAAAAAAAAAAGATCCCAGTTCCTTAGTCATCCAGCTCATAGCCTGACACTATATAGAATGAACAAAGAAGCATGGAAGGAATTCAGTAAACCTCACAAAAGTTGCTATGGGAGAAAATCAGAACCAACATGTACAGTTTTGAGAAATGTTTAATTCAGAGAGAAAATAATAATTTCATACTACGACACACAAGGCAAGCATCCCTTTATACATTCATTTATTAGTACTGAAAGGAAATATAAAACAGTGCAAGGATATTGGCTTAGATCTCAGGTGGAGAGAACTGGAAATAGTAAAGTTCTTATGAAAGAGACAACAACCTGTCATCTATGTGGACAAAATATAGACTGTATCCACTCTTCATAGAGACATGCATGTAACAGGATAATTATTTATTTTTCCTTCCAAAAGTGAACAACATTTGTATTTACAACCATCTATCATTATCAGTTTCCAAGGTGCAGAGCATGACAGACAGAGGGATACTATGAGTTACACAAAAATGAGGTTTTGGATGGATATTTTTTTTTCCCTTGGCACTACAGCACCAGTGGGCCTAGGCCTACTTCCATGAACTTCTCCGTTCACTTCGGTTTTTCTAGATCTTACACATTCGGTAGGACTCCTTGGGCAGGTGATTAGCTCATCGCAAGGCCTCTACCTGTACACAAACACAGAAAAACGCACACACACAAACTAAACATCCATGCCCTGAGTGGGATTTGGATGGATATACTTTACACAAATAACAGTTGTTTTTGTATTAAAACATTTATAAATATACTTCTTTTGTGACAGAACAATCCTGTAGACTTGGTATATAGAGTATACATATGTAATTCATAGAAATGCTTTATGCTTATTTTCTCCTAGGTCAGCAGTGGTAATAGGTCACCAAGTTTGCCTATATAGTAGTCAGGTACAAGACCACGATCTTCTTCATTATCTGACTGTTTCCAGTTCATGACATCATCTAAAGTGTTCACACCTGACAACACTAGTAACGTCTTGAAACCACATCTTGTGCCAAGAAGTATGTCTGTGTTACATCTGAAAGAGATAATAGATCTACTAAATTGACCATTTCTTTGACAATATCGCATTAACTTATCAATGATACTGGAAATAAAAAGGTGACCAAAAATTAAGTTTACACAGAATTTACTACATAAATCAAACACCCCCATGTGATACATGTAAATGGACAATTCTTTAACTGAAATGCATATCACTGCACCTTGTTTTGTGTCAGCTAATGATACAGTCATTATAAAGTGACATGTAGCGATTGCAAGAAACCATACATTGATCAAACAGGACATCACTATAAATTAAGTATAAAGAACAGTGTGAAGCATCAGGAAAAATTGTGATGAATCAAAAATTTCTATGCATATTTTAAATAACGGAACTAAAAAGAAAGAGGCATGTAATATAAGAAAAGTGCAGTGTATAAATATAAAGAAGTCTTCATATCTATCTACATAGAAAAGTAATTTAATTGATGAGCAAAAACACAATGACTTGGCATATGATACCTTAAAAAAACAGATGCAAAAATATTGCACATACTTTTTCACGTATGATTGACCTTGACTACATACCTTCAAAACACAAATAACTGTGCTCAGTTGACCACTGCTGGTTACTGAATGCTGAACAACAATGAACTCAATCCAACCAGTAAAGTCAGTTTTCAAAAAAAAAAAAAAAAAAACTGGCATTAAAGGTTTCTGCCCTTAGTGCATTTTCCAGATGATATCATGTATGCAGTTTTGTTCTGGGAGATGCTTTTCACAAATTAGTGAAATTTAATCAAAACTGTTAGAACCATTTTCAAGAAAACCATTTCCTATTTGGGGAACATCTGAAGGGCCTTACTTTTGGAGCTAGAATGTTCATCTTCACTAGGCACTACCTGTGCTAGATAAATGCCTAAATATAAAATATGAATACAATCCATCCAACTGTTCAGGCACTAGTGAGGCATATGTAGGGGAGACTATTAGATGGGATTTGTATCGGATGTTTGGATTTAATGCACTTATACACACCACTTGGAACTACAGGCAAGACAGCTGTGAGCGTTTTTGCACGATTCTTGTTGCCACATGTTGGTGACCACTTCTGTAACTGCCCTTCAGTTTGTCTCACATCGAACCCTTCCCCTCTGCATCATCCCCCCTCTTATTCCCACTTGTATTTTTGTTCACTCTCACCACACACCTAGAATCCTTCGGTGTAGTGGAAAGGTTCAAGGTGGAAGAGAATAATTGGGTGCCATGAAACCATACCTTACATATGGGTTAAGAGGGAAAATGCGGTTGCACTGATCGATGTTAATGGATGAACGTGAGGGATCTGCCTTAGGGCTCAATGGGCCTTGCTTCGACATGACAGCAGAACACTAAGAAACACTGAAACTCCTTCTTAGCCAATAAAATATTAACTTCAATTGTTCACACTCATAACCACACGTATTACATATTACTCTTAAGTTTATTAATAGTCAACCTTCTCCAGTGTTAAGGGTAAGTGCCCTTAATTGGTTAATGGAAGGTGTGAAATTTTGCATCTAGATCACTCAAGGGTTAGTTGAGAACTGTTTTTGAAAGCGTCATTTTAAGTTAACATGCATCTACTTCAAATGACATAAACTCCCCTCATAATTCATTTTTTATTGGCTGGCCAACAAAGGTAATCTGCACAGCCAATAAAATTTGCATAATTAATTTAAATACTTCCAGAACCTTGTAACAGATCTAAAAGCTTCCGTAAGCTTGGCTGGAGTACCTGATACACATGCCATGCTAGTTATTGTGGGATTGTCTTGGGTTGCATGTCTTATCTAAACAGTCCTTGCTAAAATTTCTCAGAACAGTTACAGCAAGATCTGAGTATATGTCACTCTGCTGGAATGCCTGTGTGGCACTGGCGCTACTGGTGTTACGTCTGCATGTATTTTATGCAGTGATGTGTATAGTGCTGCTGTCCTGCTGGCATGGTGTGCAATTCTGGGTTAATGTTTTTATAGTAATTATATGTGTAGAATATAGCATTTTGGAAATTAAACAGTACTTTGTTTATGTGCCCATTTTGTTGTGCATGCAATAAATATGGAACTTTTCAAAGCTGTTCATATGTCTGCCTTTTTGGGCTATTTATATTATTTCCACTGAGTTTTTAAATTACAGAAGAAAGTAATAAGGATCATATTCAGTATGGGACCCAGAGGCTCATGTAGAAGTCTTTTTAAGAAATTATATATTTTACTATTGTCATGTGAATATATTTTTTCTTTGATGTTGTTTGTGATAATCAGAATAATTTCTGTTCAGGTTCAGAGGTTCACAGCCTGAACACTAGAAACAAAAATCAAATTTATATTCCAACTTCAAATGTTTCTGTTTTCCATAAGGGCACTATGCTTACTGGTATTAGGTCATTTAATAGATTGCCAAAGAACATTCAAAATCTTAGAAAGGATGGGATGAATTTTTGGAGCATACAGTAAATAATTAGTTAACAGTATAAGTTTTGAGGTTTTCATGGCGGTGACTATGAAGAAGGCAGTCTTCTGGGATATGGTGCCATGTAGATTTTGTGTTAACTGACGTTTTGGTGGAACATCAGTTAACACAAAATCTACATAGTGCCACATCCCAGAAGACTGCTTTCTTGAATTACTTACAGTGTTTGTTTAGCTTTGCACTGTCTTTCTGATTTGTTTGCTTGTGTTATGCTTGTAACCAGTTTCATGTCCATTGTATTTTAGACTTGTGATGTGTATGTATGTATGTAAATTCTTGTAGCATAAGGCTTGTCTGTAAGTTTTTCATTGTATATTAACAGCATGTCATCTGCATATATGAAGTAGTGTATTATTTTGAGTGTGATATGGGTGTTATACATGTTTATGTTATTGTGTTCTAGGAATTGTAGATATATTTCATTTAGGATTGCAGAATACAAGGCTTCCATTGCTAATATTTCCTCCTGTTTGTAGTAATCATTATTGCATCTGAAGTAATTTTGTGATAGTACAATATGTGTTATGTTTTTTGTTTCTTTGGTTGTGTTTCATTCTGTTCTGGTTGTTTAATATAGTTTTAATTATAGTGGAGACTTTTCCTGTTGGTATGTTTCTTAACATATTAGATATGTTGAAGGAACATATTCTTGTGTCTCTATGTACAAATCTTGCATTATAATAAACTTAAATTTAAATTGTAATATATAATACATTTTATAATAAAGGGAATTATATAAACAACATATCTGTACAATGCACTCCTGATATGTAAACACTGGCCAATGGAGGGAGGCATAGCAGATAAAGAGAAGGGTGACTGTAAGAGGTCTATGTGCCTGATAATGGGTGCATTAGCTGAAACATATTGTGCATGCAAATGTATAGTGTGTTGATACTAGAACTGTGTCCACTGAAATAATAAAAAATATCATCTCACACACAATATAACACTGCACTATAATAGTTCTATCATAATAAATGAAGACAGTGGAGAAATAAATAGCTGACAAACTGGAGGATACCCATGAAAATGTGTTCCAATTCACAAGAGACTCATGTCCATGCCTCAGCGTTTCTATATTCAATCATTGCAAAAAAAAAAGGCACACCCCATAAGGAAAGTGGTCAGCTATGACATATGGAATGACTACTACCTGTCTCCTATCATCAGAGTCCTCTCAGGATCAACATTATATCGTTTTCTTATTGCATCAATGATGTAGGTACTAGGTTTCCCAATTAGAAATGGTTTCCGACCTGCACATGTCTCTATGGCTGCCACCATGCTGCCTGTACCTGGGGAAATAGAAAACTAATTAAATATTATAAAAGTAAATGTATAAAATTGAGAACTAATGTAAGTGTGGGACATAAATGTGGGCAAGTAAGAGGATAAAACCAACGATTCCTACGTTACATAACACCATTTCAACTGCACAGCCCATCCTCCGATCTAAACATAAACAGGATTAAAACATGAAGAACTAAAATTTTACCTGTTACTTTGTTTGGGTGTGAAGTGTTGTCACACACAGGAAGAGCACACGTCAAGGGTGTCAGAGAAAAAAGTGTTACGGAGAATACTGGAACAACAGAAGAAAAAGTACCTGCTACCAAAGCACAATAGACTACTGTGGGTCATGTTGCAAGGGCCAAGGAGGCCTACCCCTCATACATCAGGAGACTGAAAAAAATGCTCTAATGGGGGGATCTGTGAAATTGACTTTAATCTGTTGTTGTTGTTATTGTTGTTACCATGATAAAATCAAGATAAAATTAGTTGGGCAGGATATGTAACAAACTTGGGAGAAGATAAATACATACAACATTTTAGTCACAAAAACCTGAAAGTAAGACACCACTTGGGAGGCCTCCACATAGTTGGGAGAATATTAAAATTGATCTTAAAGGAGTAAGATGTGGACTGGATTCATCAGTTTCATTATAACTTTCAGTGGTGCATTCTTGTGGACCCGGTAAGAACCTTCAAGTTCCACAAAAGGCAGGGAATTTCTTCATTTGTCACATGACTACTAGCTTCTCAAGCACTCTGCTCATGGAGTTACTTAGTGTTCACCTGCATTAGTTAAACACTGTCAAATCAGACTGTATGATCATGAACACTGGTGAGTAAAGAATCTGTAAAGAGATGACTGAAACCTACTTCAAGGTTATGTCCTGGTATTCACCTGGACAGAAAGATGAAATGCACTGAAAACCTCAGTCAAAATAGTTAACAGCATGGCTGTGATATGAATGAGGTATATCCAAGCACAAGACTAGAGAGATACCACTAAAGCAACCTGCTCAGCAGAAGTCAGTAAATGAGGAAGCACGGTAGTGTACCTGCATGCTGTGTATATGGACAAGCCCAAAGCTCCTCTTTCAGGAACTAAACTGTATAAATTGTAATATCCCTCTATTCATCTTCTGCCTTGCGTAGGACAGATCTTATTGTAAAATGTAAAATAAATGTTTCTCTCATCCAACTGTTCAGATGCACACATATATTTATAATCACGTGAGCTACATCAAATAAAGTGCCATTAAATTTGAGAATACATTCCTCTGAGACCATGAAGTGAAGTGAACAGAATATTTCAAACGGAACAATACAGTTTCCATGAATCTAATTGTACTGAATTTCTTGATGTCACCATTCTGTAACGGTTATTTGTGAACAATTTGGGATCTTATAGAATGCTCTTATATACTGCTCAAGCTATTAGAGTTTAAAGTAATAACGCTCTTACTTCATAATTTAAAAATATTGTAATGTGTTTCGTTACTGAAGACGCCGTTCGGATTGTTAATTGGGTTATTTAACAACCTACCAATCTCGGCTACAATTAATTACAACGCTGTTGTGGGGTTTCACACTTTGTAACCCTATTCGCAATAATCAACTCACTCTGTCCTCAGTAGTCTACACGTATTAATTACGATATGGGAGCGATACAAGTGTCAATGTATCACACACTCCCAATTATTACTCAGTTATCACAAACTATCACTGATTATCACACACTCTCCGACTGCTGACTCACTTCCAACAGTCTTTGGCGGCTGTGTAGTTCCCTTATATAGTCGCAGTGTTTGCCTGTTACCCTTGTCACAGCTGCGTTGTGTGCCATGTCACAGTGCGGAGGGGGGGGGGACGGAGCGCTGACACAATATTATTAAGCTCCTGCAGTACAAAGTATATATGGAAGGTTCAACAGAAGCATGATCAAGAGGTATTACCAGAGACCAACATTCAAAAGTTACTGAAATCTAGACCCCATTCACACACATTGTATCACTCTCAGATGTAAATTCTCATAGACTACATAAAAAACGTGCTGGGGGGTGATGGAATCAGGGCTCCAGAATTATAACTTAAACCTATCTGCCATTCATTTACCCATAATCACAGTGTGATTCATACAAATAGTTTTATACTTACCACTGCTCTCTTCAATAAATCACTCATGGAATGTCAGTAAATGTACATCTTGAACTCTGGCTGGTACATCGCCTGTACAGTCTCAACCTCTTTCCCCTGTGGTACTCATGTCTTCAGACTTCTGAAGGCAATCAAGCAACACAGCTTCCAGTCATGTGCTGAAACGTATAGGCTGTGCACTAATGATTTTATCAGCTGACTGTAGAATTCCACAAAAGAAAAAAAAAGGTATCCAGCACTTCGTGATTCAAAGGATACACCAAACAATGCTTACAGTGACTCCGTGTGACTGGGTCAAAAAGATTTCTGGCAATCGCACTTGTATAGTTTTCTACTGCACCTCCCATATACTTTCATGCTTTGAGCTCTGCCAGCAACAAATATACCTGACTGTCCTGTTCTAAAAGCATAAGCTGTATGGCAAATAACGAAAACATATATTACATAAAACAAACAAGTTGCAAAATTATGAATATTTCAATTGTGTTTACACCCACCAGGAATAACACAGTCATTGATGAAGCTAGGTCCTCTTTCATCTGTGTTGGTAGCAATGAAGAGACAGTCTGGGTGATTCAAATAGCTTGCTGCCTTCAAAATCTTGGGGTAACTGATATATTCATCAAACCCCACAATAACTGCACCCACATCTGGATCTAGTTTGAAATCCTTCATCACCAGTGTTGCCACATCACTGATTAGAGGATCTGGCTGTGTGAAAATTAGGAGTGTTAAGAATATGAAGCAGGAAGTAAGAGTTCTGAGTCTTCATGTATGTAGGTAAGTCAATAAGTAAGTTACAAATGGATGTAGAACTTAAACAAATATGAGTACTGGTTTGAAAAATGCTTTTATTTCTCAACATAACCTCCCTGTACATTGAGGCACTTGTCCCATCATTTCACAAGCCCCTGAAAACCAGGAGCATAAAATTCTTTGGGCTGCTGTCGGAACCAGGCGTGTTCACACAGCATGGCCTACCTCACAATGCATGACAGGTTGCATGCTTCTGTTGAATGGCCTTACGAAGTTTCCTGAGGATGTTACAGTAGGAGTCAGCATTTATAGTTTGTCCTTGAGGCTGGAATGTGGTGAGCAGTATGCCTTCGTGATCCCAGAAGACTGAGCATCACTTTCCTGGAGGATGGTGTCACCTTAAACTTTTTTTTTGGCAGGCAGGCTGGTAATGGTGAACCCAAGACTCATCACCTGTGACAATTTGGGCTAGCATATTGTGTCCATCATGGTAGCAATTGAGATGCTGTAATGCCAGACCCATTCTTTGCATTTTGTGTTGTGGGGTCAGCATGCGCGGCACCCGTCATGCACAGACTTTGTGAAAACCTAACCTGTCATGCATTATGAAGTAGGCCATGCCATGTGAACATGCCTGGTTCTGACAGCAGCAAAAAGAATTTTGTGCTGCTGGTCTTCAGAGGCTTGTGAAATTATGGGACAAGTGCCTCAGTGTAGAGGGAGATTATGTTGAGACATAAAAGCAATTTTCAAATCTTATTTGTTTAAGTTCTATATCCATTTGTAACTTACTTATTGACTTACCCTCATACATTGTAGGAGATACAGACATGCATCATTCCAACGAACCTCCATCCATGTCTTTCACAGTAAAACACACTACAAACTGTCACATATAAACACTAAGGCCATGTCCCTCAATCTCACCTAGTATCTCTCCTGAGCCAGATGAATACAGTTCATATCACCATATTCATTTAAGATCCATTTCAATATTAAGAATGCTGTCTTCTGGGATATGGCACCATGTAGATCTTACGTCTGCAGTCACCTGCTCAAGCTGCTTCCTCGCTCATGGATTTTTCTACCCTGAAGATTGTGGCGATATATTCCTCCGAAATGTCAGTTCACAAAAGATCTGCATGGCTCAACATCCCAGAAGATGGCATTCTTCATAGTCACCACAGTGAAAATCTCAAATCTTACATCTCAATATTATGCTCCTATCTATACCTAGAACTTACAAGTGGTCTCTTCTCTTCAGGTCTTCCAAACAAAATCTGCTCTTCCCTTATGGTGAGAGAACAGCCAAGGAATTTGGGGTCCAATCCCAGCAGGAAGGGACTTTTTTTCTCGACAATGTCCAGGCCAGCTCTGAGGCCTCCCAGATTCCTTTCCAGTGGGTACAGAGGGCTCTATCCCAGGGGGTAAAGCAGCAGCGGCATGTAGCTGACCACTCACTTCCATCCAGTGCCAAAATCAAGAATGCCTCCACTCCCCCACATGCCCTCATGGCATAATGCTTAAGTACATAATTATATACAGGGATAACTTAACATTTTTTAACCTATTGTTAGAGATAAAGTTTCAATCCAATATAAAGCAACAAGCTACAGTTTTGTATATTTTGATGTTTATGTTTTTAGACAGACTGAAAGAAAACAAAAATTTTGGAACAGAATGGTTGAAAGCATTCCTCAAAATTAATCTGCTCTTAAGTTCTATGTGAATACAATTTTGACTTGTTAATGTCATTCATAAATATTTTAACTCTGGCATATTTTTTAAGCATTTATTAGCCATTTTTGTTTATAATTTTGTACTGTATTTCTGTAGTAAGACTGCAGCATAGATTTGCAACTTACATTTACAACTAGATTGACTTCGTTAGTAGAATCTAATAGGGCTGCATTTTTCTCTTTATGGTATTTAAGTTCAGCTGCTATGGCCCACTGCTTCTCTTGGACCCCTCTCCCCTAATGACAGACTCAACTACTTAATCATCAATTATTTTCACTGCATGTAGATTGATAGAGTGTTAAATGTTACACATTTCCACACAAATTTACTAAAATTAAGTCATAAAACTCACTCACTCACACATTGAACCTCTTCATATGAACTCTGTGCATTGTTTGTTTAATAACTGCCAGTCGCTCCCTAAATTTTGCTACCACCATATAGTGTCAGTATCAGAATCTGCTGTCCTGAACAGTCACACATCAAGTATGCTTAAATGCCATCTCCAGTCTATCAAAATATGGTCAATTTTGTCGTGCATCTTCTCATCAGGAGATGTCCAAGTAAATTTATGAATGTTATGATGTAGGAACTTTGTACTTTTGACAATAAGACTTTTGGATGAGGTAAAATTTACTACACTAACTCCATTATCATTACTAATTTCGTGTAAACTCTCATTCTCAATTGTTTCTTTGAAAATGTCTTCCCTACCCACTTTGGAATTGCGCAAAACTCACTTCTGCTCATTGTGCATGTTGACTAAAATTATCATTATCACCATTATATAACTTGTCTCATAATTTGTATCAGTGTGTGTTTTAATCTCCATTGTTACATACTCATCTACTTTAAGTAAACAAAATTCATTTCATGGATTATTTTGTCACCACATTCACATACTAAGAGAAGGAATGCATTGATAGGCACACAGATAGGAATACAAAGAATCTGCCTTCCCATGTTCAGGGGTACAGAAAATGTACTCCTTCCTTACAATATCATAAAACGTTTTCCTTTTTGGATCATAGTCCTATTCTTCGTAAATGTTATAGAAAGTCTGAGGCTAAAATTACTAACATTAATCATACAAAGCACAGTCATTACTACATGTACTATCTGCTGTAACACTGCTAAAGCTCTGCATTTTTCCCACAGAGTATACTTGTGTACAGTGAAACCTTACCAATCTAAACCCATGCAAATCCGAAAGTATTCATTCATTCATCAGTAATCTGTCAGACGACAGGTCCACAGCCTCTTCCAAAACAGTTTCTCCACTTAATGCGATCTTCTGTTTTTGGAAAGAGACTATCCAGGAAAAGTGATAATGTGGTAGTTTTTCCATTTGCTTTCCACATCGCAGTACAACAGCCGTTCAAACCACTCTGGTCACGCCTGTTGCTATACGAACTTGAACCATCTCGAGCATCATTTTCTCTGTGCTTCAAGTCGCCGCTGATGACGCTGCTTCCGGCATCAGTTTTCGGTGTCTCTCTTCGTCTGATGCCTACCCTTTGACCTGTCCAGCAAGGGAGGCCCTGCCTATACCGCTGGTATAGCCCTCACCACGATAAGGTGGAGACACCAACGAGGGGCCGAAAGTATACCATATAAAAAAGGCACTTCCAAAACTTACAAATGTAATCTAATTATTTTACTCCTTTACAGTAAAAGTGAATTCCTGTGAAACATAACATTATGTACAAGTACTATGTTTTTGGACATATCCAAGTTAAAGAATTATCTACATGCTCATTCCTTCTACTCTTTAGATGAATACTTCAATGTAAATAGAGAATGATGTAAAATTAAGTTATATTAATTTTTAAGCTAAAATTGCCTGTACTTATGTATGTAACCTTTTGACTTGTTCTGTATCCAAAGGTACTAACCTACTTAGGATTTATAGAATGTAAATAAATTCAATTCAATTCAATTCTCATTTATAAAAAAAACACCGTTTCTATTTTAAAACACAATGTTTCGGAAACCGGATTCTGTCACTGTCCTCAGGTAAAACCTACTCAGTTGGGTCCAATAGATACAGCTAGTCCCTATCTCTGGACACCTATGCCAGTTTCAGAAGGATTCTTAATCCAAGCACAACACAAACCATCTGTGAGAGCTTGGATTATGAACCCCTTCTGAAACTGGCATAGGTGTCCAGAGATAGGGGCTAGCTCTGTCTATTGGACCCAACTGAGTAGGTTTTACCTGAGGATGGGGACAGAATCCAGTCTCTGAAATGTTGTGTTTTAAAACAGAAACAGGACTTTTTTTTTTAAAAATAGACAAGACGATGGATATTGTCCAAAAACATAGTACTTGTAGCAATTTACCATTGTCACAAACTTTTAGATCTTAATACCATTGTGTTAATGAACCTACCTCTCTATACAGTGAAAGATGTAACCTGGTTACTGCTTGCCCTGAGTCCAGCATGTAACCAATGTCCACTGGATATCGTTGATGTTTATATACAAAATGTAACTATAAATCTTTTGAATACATGATTTTATGAGTACTAAAAAATTCTAATTATTTATTTCAAACTGAGTAATATGAATGATTTGACAGTCTGAACACACCAGCACTTTAATTAGTCCAGATGATTAAGGTTGCATTTTGGTTCATTAGATTCTCAGAATAAGTGGTGATTACTTCTGCAACAGTATTAACCAACTGTTCTTTACAATGCAGACACAGCATGCTTCCAGGGTGGTAGGAAGTGAATCTATGAATAATACACAGAAGAAATTTGTGCTTCAAAGGGTAAAAATACAGAACTACTTCTTTAGGTAGCCTATAACATTTTGTCTACAGGGCCATGCTCTTTCATTCATTCATTCACTCTTTATTTTTCCATATATATCCATATAGGTTAACAAACCAGGATGTGGAAATAGTCCCTTTGAATACAGATATATCAACATGCATATACAAAATTGCACGAGTCAATAAAACAAAGACACTTGCATCAGCCTATAAATATAGATAATATTATAGGATTTATAGATTTCATTTAATAGACATACTTAAAAAATAACCTACTATAAAACTTGTATTTACACCATTTCATATAAAATACCCATATTAACTAAAACACAGTCAAAAATTACACACCTATGACCCATTACATCTATAATATCAGCATCATATTTAACTCCATAAATCCATACAGTATATACTTTAACACATTTAAAACTGTTAAAATTCTAATTTATATATTCAAATTTATTATTTATTCATTCATTCATTTATTTCATTTCTGTTACTCCAGGCTGGTACGTTGTGCGTTCAAGTTCTAAGGTCTCCGATTTTTTTTCTCACACAATAACCATACAAACAATTTGAAACTTCTGTCACTTTTCAACGTAATCTCCCTGCAGCCATACACATTTTTCACAACGTCGACACCTTGATTCCATGGCCGCTATGAACGCTTCTGTAGAAGTCTGTTTTGACCACTGGAAAATCGCGCTTTGTTTCAGGATTGAAAAACGGCATCCATGTCTCATCCATTGTCACAACTGATGAAAACAAAGTCCCATTCATGCCTTCATCACGTGTCAACATCGCCTGGCAAATTGCCATGCACAGCCTTGTGGTTGTCCACCAGCATTTGTGGCACCCACCTGGAGGACATTCGCAGGTCTTCATGCAGGATTGTGTGCACAGATCCCACGGAAATGCCAACTTTGGAGGCAGTGTTTTCCACATTCAATCGGCGATCCTCCAAAACAACTTTCTCAACTCGGTCGAACATGTTGTCAGACCAGCTGGTGCAAGGCCGAGATTGTTTTGATTCGTTGTCACACAACATTCGGCCTTCTTTGAACTGTCACACCCACAAACGCACATTTTTCACATTCATCACACCATCACCACATGTCTCACTCAACTGGCGATGAATTTCAATGCGTGTCACGCCACACAAGTGGAGAAAACGAATGATTACTCGCTGTTCTTGTAACGAAAACGTCGCCGTTTTAAGTATCAAAAACACTGCTCACTCTCGCTGCCACCACTAGAGTTCTGTGTGCTGTACAGTGCTGCCATCTCTGTCACGCATTCACAAAGAGTGCACACGTATTTTAAACTAAACCGCATGTGTCTATCTGCTCCCAGTCCCAAGAAAAAAAAATCGGAGACCTTAGAACTTGAACGCCCCTCGTAAAACCGTAGATCTGTGCTGCATAGTGCATGCTGTAGCATGCACTATGCAGCACAGAGAGAGTAGAGTCAAAGTAACCTTTAATTCAATTGTCCCCTGCCAGTTGATGTGTTGCTCTACGTTTCTTACAAAACAGAATATATACACTACAATGTTTTCAAAAGCCAATTCACTACTTCATTTCATATGATGTAAACTGGAAAGTACAGAATGATTTCTACTTCACAGAACTCACTAAAAACTGAACTGAATATTCTAATCATGTTAAAACCTTGACATTCAGTCATAAAATAATTACATTTAAAAAATGTTAAGTTGTCTTGCCTTCTAACCAATTTATGTAGCTGATTCTAATGCTGAATATTATAGCACATATCTGATCTAATAGATCGCTCTGGATGTATAAAGATAGAATTCTTCACTGCATAGTCTTTCTAATGAGTCCTATTTACTTACCCCAACTCCAAAACTTCTAATGCCCAAACGACTGAGCTCTCTGGAAATCCCACTTGTACCAACAACATACACTTTTTTTTTGAAACCAATATCATGGAGATAGCAGGCAGTGAGATATGAGGTAGTGAGTACATCATCCTACAAAGAAACATGATGAAAATGTGTGAACATTCAATTTTTGAAGATGTCAGGCAATCAAAATGAAGCTAAATTGACAGTAAACTTTACACAATAAACTAACCAGCATTTTACAAGAACTTATTAAACTGAAGGACTGTATTTTCTGATGTAAGTAAAAGGAAATGATTCCTATTACAAATGTTTTAGATTTGAAACCCAGTCAGAACTTCTCACTTTCCCACTCACATAACCATTAGAATAAAATGAGAGTCTCTGGTTTACTTTTAGCACAAGTACCATCACAAATCCAATATCTTTACTGACACCAACAATTCTGTCTGACAGCCAGATAGTCCTACTATCATTTTAATAACTGTAATTCATCATGCTCTGAATATATTATTGATGTGAAAATTATTTCATGGATAGCTACATAAGTAAGTGACAGGATTCATTCAGGGCAGTTATGAGTTACAAGTAGTAGTAATGGCAGAAGCACGCGAAAAAGCAAGCAAGTCAGCTCTCAGTAGGAGATAGCCGATGGAAGTTCATAGTTGAAGAAGAATTAGAAGCTGGCCTATGAAGACTTAACATGTGATTAGAAGATTTTATTTATTTGTAATATCAGGAGCGTGTAATTCAGTGAGACTGTTATGGCTGCTGTGCAATAAATCCTTGAAGACAGAAGACATTAGTGTGGAGTGACTGTAAATTGTGTAAAGCAGCAACAGTGTAATAATTAATGGTAGTTATGACCTGTAGGTTATTAATAAATCCAATTACCAATCCCAACCCCATCTTTAGTCACCAGTATATGTGACACAACATTCAATGAACTTTGCACGGTGAAGTACAATGTCAAAATCTACAAACTCAAGTACAGCTGAGTTTATGCTGTTCAAAAATTTTGTTATACAAGAACTTCGGTTTGTTAAATAAAACTCACCACAAATATGCATCGAGAGAATGGAATTTATATATGTATATAGATCATGAGCATTCAAAAGTACACATGCGTGGGGTTGTGCGTGTGGGGGGGAACAAGGAGGGAGGAAGGAGGGGGAGACACTTTTTCTTTATGCTAAACTTCTCTCAGACTATTCCAGAATGGTGTTCACTAACTTTGGTTGACGTGAATCCTAATTTATCACATTTCACACAAAACTCTTCCCTAGTGATAACATTGTTATTAGTAATGTAGAACACACGTTTCCCCATCTCACGAAACTTATTCAGGACGTCTGGAGCTCCAGGAAGTATCTTCATATGTAACCATAACACACCTGAAAAAAAAATAAATGCATATTTTTCAAAAATGCTTTGCAGAATAACTGCTAGTGAGTCTTATAATACTACTTAATGAATACCATTAAAAGTCTATTAAACAGGGCCATGAGATACCAATTCTAAAATCCAGATTCATATTTTAAACTTAGTAAGACAAATTTTATCTTATAAACAACTTACAGCCATGAGAAGGAATTAATATTATCAGATACATAAAACAAAACAGATCAGACATTCAAAGCACAAAATGAACAGGAAGTTAATTCTTAAATATACCTTAATTGTAAAGTTTTTCAACAACATCCTGTCATGATTGAATATTGAAAGCATAATGACATTTTTCTTCCCTATCACGTGGCAATATTGATTCCTGAGATGGCAGGAAGTAGCAATTTCTTTCTCAGAACATACAACTCAAAATACCGAAAATATGAAACATTTACAGTTGCATTTTCTCTACTGTGGTCATGCACGAAAAAGATTTAAAAACATATAAAAGATAAAGACATATATTTTCTATAAGATTAAAACGTTTTACCATCACAGTCCGTTAATATAGTGTCTATGGAACTAAACAGATTTTTAACTTCATCTCTGCTTAAACTTGCCAGATTCTTGATTGACATTCTTATTGATCCTGCAAAAATGAAAAAGAAAAAATATCAGAGTTTAATTACATTATACTACACATATTCCTTATGGTTTCCCTCTTCACAGAAATAAAGATTATTTCATGGCAAATACATCAAGTTCAAATGAAATTCTCAAAAAACATTACCCAGTGAAATCACTTTACTTTTTTTTTTGTTTCATGCATCCTGTTGTTATAATGTACAATTACTCTATTAAAACCATCACAACACAACAATATTAGAGCCAAACTAGGCACTGATAGTAATATTGTTGTGTTGTGACGGTTTTAATAAAGAAATTGTCACTTTACGTTGTTTTGTTGGGACCAAAAATACTAAGCAATGTATGACGGGTTTTTCCACGGCCTATGTATGTAGTCTTGACAAATTGTGCTGTCTCCGTGAGGCCTGATTATATATTTTATTGGACCAAAGACGTATGATGTGTAGTCATCATGAATTTGTAATGTGTGACATGTTTTATATCCAGTCCTACAGGGAGATGATTGGATCCATGAAGTGAAAATAAATGTAAATGTAACTGGGGTGATATTGCACAAGTTGAACTATACTTCTATATTCACCCAGCAGCACAACAAATATTCCTACTTCTCACAGATGATGTCTTGCTGCACATTTGGTTTCTTGCATATGCAAAGAGAGCTTATGGTACGGGTAACCATGCCATGCATCTGTTTCTGACTACATCCCCCCCCTTCCAACAACTTTTGTGCCTACTGAAAATGTTTATGAACCTTCACATGAACATTAGCCTGCTAGGAGTATCCAAACCTCTGTAGTTTTTAACTTCCTGTCATCAATATACTAACATGCTCACAGTGGAAACTTATGAGGTGAGAGTGACACTAGCACCACACTGCTAACATACTAGCACATGAATCTGAAATTTATGTCATTATGCTTAATTATGGACCACATCATGAAGATGTGTGATGATACTGGAGGTACACACACATTATTAACCATGGTCCTCAATAAAGGTAAATTGGTCAGCATCATACTCTGGCCACTTTACCCCAGGGACAAAGCATGTGGTATCCATTCTGGTAATTATTTTAACTTTCAACTCTATTTTCGTCCATAATTGAGGGGAATACAATTGGACGTGTCAAAAGATAACAGCAAATACACCACATGTCAAAGCCACATAACAATTACACAATGATATATCATGATAATATAATAACCGTGACAAGGTACATAACAATAAAACATGCACAAGATCAAAAGAAAATATCAGTAATATAAAACATATAAACACAATATTAAAAACTGCAAACCGAAAGACAATCAACAAACTAGTCATCAATCCAACATTAGTTGAAAAACTCTTGAAGAGAACAGAAAGTGCTGCACAGCAAATAATATTTTAGTTTCTTCTTAAAAACATTAAAATTTTCAACACTTTTCAATTCAAGGGGAAGGCCATTAAATATTTTAGTTCCCATACTGATTAAAGTATTACAAACCTGGACATACAAATTATGTTTATATGGTATTGTAGCTGTGAATGTCAGAATACTGAGGTGTATAGATCTTTTTCTTTATTACAAAACATAAAATCTCAAATATTCAAACTAAAGAGGTAAGTTAAAATCTTAAATTCAGCAAACATATTTTTTACAGGATACTCTATTATTAACAAATTTAATCACTCTTAGACATTTTTTCTTTACTTTAAACCCAGTTTCAGAGTCCTTAAGCCCCCCACCCCAAAATAATACCAAATTTCAATATCGATTCATACTTAGTAAAATAAACGTTTCTTAATACAGGTAGGCTAACTATGTCATGTAAGGATTTGATCAAATAAAGAGCCTTATTTAGTTTTTTTGGCAAACGTATTAAGTGTGAGTTGTCCAGCTTAGATTTTCAGTAATACAAATACCCAAAAATTTTACATTTGATGAATAAATTATTTCCTTATTATTTAAGCAAAAAACAGGAGATTGGAGTAGGTTTTCTTCCCTGAAAGAATAATACTTCAGTCTTATCCATGTTTATTATGAGATGATTATCATGGAAACAGTTGTCCTCATAGACTGAAGGAGGACTGTCATACTTACATCAATGGTTTCACTGCTCACAATCTATTGTCCTGCATATAAGTCCCCTTGTACTGCCACGAAGACACAACAGCACAACACAGAGACACAATTACATGTCCTAAAGCTTGTAAGTAAAGGTAGAGTTGTCTCTGTGCTCAAATAGGAGCACTAAGCCATGAAAGGAGGCACACAACAGCTTGGATGGTTGAAGCACTATGCTACAAGATGGACGGTCACACTTTCAAGTCCTGAGGAGGTGAATTTTGTCAGTTTATCTAATCCTTCCAGCTGCACTATTTCCCTGGGGTCGACATAGCCTCTAACAGAAATGAGTACTTGGAATCTTCCTGGGAGTAAAGTGCGGCCGGTCGACACGTAAGGCTGACAACCTTACCATCATCTGTGAGCCAGCTGTCTAGAAAATGTGGAAACATCGACATCTCACAACCCTATGGGCCTCCACTACCTGTTACAAGAATAGCTTTACCTTTCTCTTTACCTATGCCATGAAGACATATGGGGGAGTGGAGGCATAGCTCTGCCATTCTTGATCTTGTTACTAGATGTAGGAGAATGATCAGCTTCACAGCCCAGCTGCTTTATCCTTGGGGAAAGAGCCCTGATGCCCATTGGACAGGAGGCTGGATGGGCCCCAGAGCTGGTCTGAAAGCTTGTTCTGAAGCCAAATCTCCGTGCAAAGTGACTTACACTGCAGCTCCATCAGTTGCCTCAGAGCTATGCAGGTCTATAGGGTCAGGTATCTAGGAAAAGACAAGCTACTTATCTGCTTTGACAGAGAATCTTGATAATGACAAGATGGCTTGGGGTGCATCAGTGAAGACTATGCAAGACACTTACTGGATCTGTACACAGGAGGTAACATTGTCAAGTCTGCCACCAAGGGAAGAAAACAGCTCAATATATGGAACAGAGTTCGGCTGTATAAATGCTGTTAAGACTACAGAGTCAGTAGGAGACAGAGGCAAAGGCAAGTGCACTTGAAGCTTGAACAAATAACCTGTCAGAACAAATTGCCATGTATTTCACAGGGGTGGGATATCCATTGGGATATCAAAGGGACCATTTCCACATCCTAGGTGTGTTACCTGTATGGATATATGGAAAATAAAGGAAATGAATGAATGAACAACATAATAGGTAAGGAAAAATGTTTTGGCCTCTAACATGCTGGATGAGTCAATGGTCACAGATCAGCTGGATGATATGCCTGTGAAAATCAGATAACAGTCTATTCGGTATAATTTGTAGGAAGTGTACTGAAGTCACTGAAGTTATTGCAGTACACACCAACAGCTCAAGAGACAGTGATGTTTAACTCTCAAACCAATGAAGAACTTCAACAAATCAGTGACAAGTGCACATCAATGATATCTCAAGGGACTCTTTGTTGTATTACAGCAAATATGATTACAAGAACAAATGTCTCTTACAATGACAGACACATTCTATATCTGTAGTACATATGTAGCCCCAGGTGGTGAATTAAAACCACATGATATCTCTTTTGGATTAGTGGGCCCTTGGATCACATGGTACTATGTTTTAAACAGATACTCTAAAACAGAAATTAGTTATGAAGAACTAATTAATTACCCACAGGCAGCTACTTTTGAAGTTCCTTCCAGTCTATGGGAATATAAACAGGAGAAGTGAATATATGGAAAGATTTTAAATTGTTTTAATATCCCACTTTTTAAATGGGTGGGATCTAGTATATCACAAATGTTGCAACCGAATGTCATGACCTTCATGCTCCGTAATCTTTACATATTTATTCCTCTCTTGGAATTGGATCCCTACAATCTCACCATATGTGATAAATACGTCTTATATATTTAACTTGCTGAAATATATCTGGGTAAATTTAATTTTAAATACTTAACTTGCTGAAATTCATTTTATATTCATGGGGCACAAATTAAAAACTGACATCAGGAACTTTCTGATGCCTCATTATAGGTAAGATCTTGCACTGTAAAAAGTTCATGGACTTCAAAGACATGTGTGTCATTATATACAAATAACCATAATTAAATCTAAGTAAAGCAGATTACAAAGCACTTTTCACCGACTGTGAAATTTTAATACTTCCACTTTGGACTGTTAATTAAAAACACATTTCATACTTGCAAAACCAAATTCAAATTAACGTGTACTATCGCTCACGACGAAAACGCCAATCACTTATGATATAACGAAAACTATTTACATAGGATATTGGTGCGAAAGCCAGAAGGAGAAAGACCACAGGGAAGACCAACACGTAGGTGGGTGGGCAAAATTAGAATGGATCTTAGAGAGATATGATGGGATGATATGGATTGGATAGATCTGGCTCAGGATAGGGAGTAGTGGAGGGCTCTTGTGAACACGGTGATGAACCTTCGGGTTCCATAAAATGCTGGGAAATTGAGTAGCTGCAGAATTGGCGGCTCCTCCAGAAGGGTTCAGCTCCGTAAGTAAGTTTACAATATACGTAAGCTTTAGCAGCCAAACATTCATGCGAATTATAGCTGCTTCGGGTTGTGCTTATGTAACGGGAAAGAAAATGAGAGTTTAATGAAATATCTTTCCAATTTGTTAACAATTTTGTGGTCCAAATTTATTTGCATCGACTTACTAAGGGCATTCTCTCCGCAGTAGCTAAACGATTTTGAAAGTGATGAGATTAATGTAAACATTTTACGTCTTAGATTAAGTTTACTACCTTCAACATACGTCACAATATAACCGCTTATAACCTAAACGTCAACACCCGTCGGAACTAATTAAAAGTGAATAAATTATCAGGTGCACCAATCGAATGAATTTCCCTACCTCCACTAAACCGTACGAAACAATCCCTTAGAAATTGTAAGTTACTCAACCAATCAAGAAATTTTCCCGCACTTTATGAAATCCGAAGGTTAGGAGTAGGGCGGGGTAACTATGACCACTAAGGTCATATGTTACAGGTAGTAACGATGTAACGATGCCATCCCCGATGAAGTTGAACGAACTACGGCTGTCTCTCTGTAAGGGCGCATCATGGACCAGACGATGCGTTGGAACACAGTTTTGGGACACTTCTTGGTCCCGTCGGGCAACGTTTTTTTTTTTTAATTTTCGCTTAGTGGGGGTGGAGTACAGGTGGGTCCACTTGGCACGGCGGCCACTGATTGGCCTATTGTAGTTGTCCCGGGTGATTATGATGATGGAAAATTTGGTGGAATGAAGATTGGCAGGGGAAACCGAAGTACTTGGAGAAAACCCGCCCCAGCGCCACTTTGTCCACCACATATCCCACTTGACCATAGTCGGGATCGAACCCGGGCCACCGCGGAGGGAAACTAGCGACTAACGCTTGAGCTATGGCACAGCCCACCAAGCAACGTTAGTCTCAGGGTCTGGATCATTATGACTAGCCAGGGCTGGCGGCTAAGCTTCCATAGAGGGCAATGGCGTATTTCACGATCGGAGCCTTCCACACGGCGGCATTATGACTCTCAGGTACCACTAAGGTTTCCCGGAGCGAATGCGTGAGAGCACTCATATAGAGGTAGCTCTGGCTACTTGTGTTGTCTCCCTAGTGGGAATGTGGGGGTGATCTGCCACCTCCAGGGGCATTTCATGCGGTTTACTCTGGTCACAACTGCATGGCTAATTAGCATCGCACACCCACTAATTACCTGGGATACACCCAACGTGAACTTTAGGGCCTGGAGGCTCATGAGGGTTTATACACAACAGGGCCAAACCACCTAAGCCAAGGTGTGATTCATCATGCCGAGGGCTGTGTGGCACTTGGGTGAAACATAGCCAGTGTCGTGAACGATCCCTTTGGGGCACCAGGCAGCAGTACATTGTACGTATTTATGCCTTATGGGGTGCTGTGGGTGGTGACCTCTTAAATACCCATTACTTGTGGGACCAATATGGAAACCAAAAAGAAAATAAAAAACGGTCCTCAGGACCTAAAAGAAAGAAGGATTCCCATTCAAGGAGATCCCTATGAGAAATACTTCAGCAGGAGGCTTGAAGCTCCAGTACACCGTTAAGGGGCCCGGTTGCAACCAGTGAAACTGCTGTTGAGATTTCAGCCAAAGGCAGGGATGAACCAGTGGTGAGAACCATGCCTGAGATTAAACTAGGAACCCTTATCTTGGGAGTCAGTAATATTGACACACCACTGCTGGGGGCTAGTTCTTCTAACATACCTACAGATGGAGGTCTGGGACAGTAGTTTCCAGAGAAGGTGTACTCCATCTGGCGAAGAAGGTATTGCCTGGCTGCGCTAGACGGAAATTGAAAAAAGGCAAAAGCAAGGGCAAGCGAAACAGGAACTAGGGGCATTCAGCAACCAGGGAATGCTGACACACCCAAGCAGAGAAAAATCTCGACTGAAACCCTTAAGAGGCCTAGGCCCCTCCGGCCTACAAAAATGACCACACCTCCAAAAAGACTCAGGGACTCTAGGGGACCAGGGAACTACAAGGAGATGCTGACCAACATAAAGATAGCTATCTTCAAGGAAACATATCCTGAAGATAAGCTAACAGAAGATGACCTGAACAGTACCCTTGGGGAACTAGTTGTGTGGGGCTCCTTTAGAAGAACTACCACACCTGAAGTCTTACAGACTGGAGCGAGGTGCATTAATACATGTGTGTGTGTGTGCGTACACCGACCAACAGTCTGATCAATGGCTCATCAGAGTCAACTGCATATTCACAGCTACTCTCCTTATCTGGAGGTCATCTACATTTTCAACCTGATAATGTGCCATCTCGTGGTCTTAAGTGATTCATTTAACATGCCAGTGACTATGCTAATCAAATTATAAAAGCTGACAATGCCAACATTTAAAGAAAGTGAGTACCTTTGACATGTGTCACTATGACATTTCACATCAAATATCTCGGTTCAGTTATTACAGTCCCTGCTTTGTAAGTGGGAAGGTCTGAATCTCACTCCAGAGACTGGCTAACCTGACCAAGGTCCTTTGCATCCTTTCTCAGTTCTATCAGGCAAATGATTGATTAGGACCCTACAATAAAGCATGACCACTTCCACATCCTTCCAAGTTCATCATTCACAAATCACAGTGTCATTTTACATTATATGGTCTGTGAAAATTTATAGTGTTAAATGAACCAAGAAACAACCAAGGTCATCTCATTGACAACTGAAGGAATGGTATTCAAAAGTTAAACTTACCAAGTGTAACACTGAAGCACATTTAACTTTAACAAGCTCTTACAATGACTAGACAATCTTCATGACCACAAATTCTAGAGTACTGCCTTGTCAGGCAGACAAAGATGAACAGGTATGCAAATATAAACCACAACTCAACAATAATAACCCCTCACTGTGTTATCTAATCTGAAACTCAATTTTCCTCATTATCTACACATGACTCAACAGACTATATTAGTATGATGTCACACTCTGCTATGGAAAAAAGACGAATACATAAACACTCTCATTCAGGATGTAGAATATCTAAAACTGCCAATTTTATTACTGATGGATCTGTATCTCTTTTCATGAAAAAGGTCTACTTTATAATCTTCTCCAATGCAATGTACAGGACAAGGAAGTAGTACATATTTTTCTGGTTCTAAGGAATGTACTTTTGTCATAATGGCACTACTGTTTGCATGAAGCCATTCTCAGTTTTGTGATTTCTATCTTGCTATTTGTATTGTGGCCAATAGGAATTGTAAAATAAAAACGTAAAACCTTTCGTGCAGAATTAAAACCATTTTCTCTCTTTTAAGTGTTTAAAGAGTTGTTCATGGCGAGAATTACACAGAGGCTAGTGGAGTTGATTTGACTGCTCCTGGTATTAATCTCAGAGCTTGATTTTGCAACACTTCTAATTTGTTCATGATGGCTGGTGTTGCAGTTATCAATGCTTCAGAGCACTCTGTAGGACATGTTTTATAAATGCTTTGTATGTAGCGTTCAATACAGATCTTGGACTACACCATTTACTTCCTGCAAGCCTGTTCTGAACATTTTGTTTATACAGAGAGAGATCGTCTTTTCAACTGTCTTCTCTACATGGTTTCTCCATGTCAGCTTTCCATCTAAGTCTATTTCTAAGTATTGTAGCGTGCAGACCCATTGTTGGGTAATGACCTCAAAACAGACAATGAAACAACATTCCCTGCTAGGCGACAGATTCTTAATAAGCAAGTATAAGCAGCTGCTACTAGGTAATGCCTTCGCAAACAAACATCTTCCCATGGAAACAGTTGGAGTACAACAACAGTTTGCTATGCGGTCTGAACTGAAATGTTATAACCAAGACAATTTTAGAACTTAGTCAGTTGTAAGGGAGTCTGTAAAGAGAAGACTTGGTCGGTGCAGTTGAAAAATCCATACTGTTAGAAGCCATTACCAGGGAATTGGTGAAGACACAGCACACCGAAAAGACTTAGTGTGCACTGTAGGGATCTGCAAGTGTGGAAATAAGTGATGTGTCACAATCACTATAACATAAATCTGCAACATCTCATAGAATACATGCCTGTTTTAAAGTTCCATGGATGCCATAAACCTGAATCATTATTTTAATTTAAATTACTCTCTTGTAATTTTACCACCAATTTTGTAGTTGTTAACTCACTGTTCATTCATCAATGCCAACTAAAGGCTTAAACATAATCTGGTATGTCAATATATAATTTCAATAGTCATCTCGGTTTCCCTTATATAAATGGTTTGGTGGCAGTCTGCTTCATTACCTCCCTTGTTCCACTTAACCACTGGGTAACCCCATCCCGCTCGCTCCTTCATTCCTCAACCTGCTATTTTATAAGCTCTACTGTTCTGTCCATTTTCTCTGTATTTCCCTTCATATTACAATCAAGGTCATAGATCATATTTACCTGATTATCCGCTATATCTTCTGCTAAAGTTGTAACAACAATTTTTGGATAGCACCACATATAAGTCTAATGTTCCTTGTACAAAGGTCCTTCCTTTTTCATGGGTTATTTAATATTATTTTCAGTATCGAGATTATCCAGCATCAAGTGGTAGAATAACAGTAGAACAATAAACTGGAAGAGATCTGGAATGAAGTGCTTGTGGCCTAACCGAGTCATTATCCTGCTTGCGCCTTGCCTCATGTTGGTTTCTCACTTGGCTCACTCTTCAACCCAGAAAATTTAGGCAATATGTTCCTCAAAAATGTCAGTTGCTTTCACCGAGCTTCACAGTGCTATATCACACAAGCTAGAACTCTTCATAGCCAATGCTGTGAGAACCTCAAATCCATCACAGTACCACATTCTGTTTCATCAGTAAAGCTTGAACTCTTCAAATCCAGTACCTCGTGAACCAGAGCAGAGCTGGACTAGAGCATATTTTTAACCATGGATGGTCAATATATTATGTTACCAAAACATCTCAATAAGCCACCAAAGCATAATTTGTTGGTGTTGTCACATAACTACAATTCAATGAACATTTGCACTTACAAGCATTACCAACACCACCACTACTTGCTTGTCTCTGTGAAGCCATATTTAGAGTCTGTCTAGCAAATTAAACTTGTGCCACACCACAAGTGGTGTTGGATCTGGAATGCCAAATCTGAGAATTCTGACCTGTATTGCCAACTCTTTACTAGGAGCAATTATACCTCCNAACAATACATCCATGATATGTATACAGTGGCCGTCTTGTAGTGCACTCAATTTCACCTGTTACTTCACGATGTGTTTCGGCAACATAGTGCCATCATCAGGTGCCCTAATTATGCTAATCTATTGCATTGCTTGCCTTTATGTCTTTATAAAATTATTTAAAAAGTGCATATTTGTCAACTATAATAAATTTACACCCACTAAAACTTGTTGAGATTATTCATTATGTGTCTTAATTAAAACTTGCATGTGGTTCTTCCACTATGGTGTCGTTTTTTCTTATATTCTGTGTAAACCGTGTCTTGTGATGTGTGTTCCCTTCTTAGCTGCGAGTGTTGTATTTCTAACATACAGTATTCTGTCACACATACATTCAAAGAAGTACGAAGAGGCAACAAGGTAAGTAAATTCAAGTCAACTGCACCAAAATTCTTTTAATTCTTTATTGAACTATTACAACTCAACATGAATCTGATTCAAACTATTACACTACACGCACTATGATATAAGTGGTAGCATGTCCCCTAGTCTGTCTATGTAATAATCTGGAACCAATTCTTGGTCTTCTTTATTGCTGGATTTCTCCAACTGATGAACTTCTCCAAGTGTTGTAACCCCAGTAAGAACCAATAAGGTTTTGAAACCACAACGAGTTCCAAAAAGTATGTCTGTATTACACCTGCAATTAAAACATATATGGTGATCATCTGGATTGGAAAATCTAAGCTGTACAAAGAATTTCCAAAAGTATCCTTTACCATAATCCTTCCTCAACCTAAACACATAATATCGTAAACCGTGTACCCTTACTTACTTACTTACTTACTTACTTACTTCTTTACCCTTCAAAGACAAAATGGATTAGCGTAACATAAAACTCTCAGACTCACATTCAGGAGGTGCTCAGTTCAAATCTCAGCCAGGACACAGCTATCCTGCCTGAGGTTTTTTGTGGTGTTCCTCAGTCCCTCCAGGCAGAATTTGGGATAGTAGGTCAGTTGCATCATGACCATTTAACTTCAAATCCTTTCCAATTCTTCATTCCTCTTAACATCCTACCATTTGACGCTATGCAGTCTAGCCACTGATGTTGAAAAATAACCCAGAATAAAGAAATTAACCTTTCGTCGACTATGAGGGGCATAAGTCTACCTTTAAATGTGATCTCCATACTGAGGGGCCTGAATGCTTGCTTTGCTCTTATAAACGGGCAACACTGCCTGCAATAAAAATGGCACCCACCAGGAGGTCAAAATAAGCAAACATTTACCACTACTAGCATACAGAAACTTTTGCAAGGAAGACTGGATCATGATGCTGTAGTCCTAAAATGCTAAGGATTAAAAATAATGCTATTATACAATGCTGTGTATGACATTGTTTTAAACAAGGATGGTTCATGTTACTGGTAATTAATGCCTCATCTTCAGTTCATTTGCACTCTGTTATAAGAAGAGAGGATTATGGAATCATTAAGTTCATGTGTCTCATATCACAAGGTTTTCACAAAACTTGATACAAACATTACACCACTAGGGGCTGTCCCACCTCCACACTTTAATTTCTTATCATAAATCACAACAATGTCAAGGTCATGAAATTTTATGTTGTACACATTAAAAAAACTGCAAAGTCTGTTATGGCAATTTTCTGCAGAATGTAAAACAGCAAGCTGGATACACAAAATATACAATTAATTCACTTCCTTTGCAATAATTAATGATCAACAGAGGCAAGACTTATGAACTTTCATATGATGACATTACATGTGTACATATATGTCTATAAATTCTATATGAAACATCCTTCACGCATCAGTAATTATAAACACAGTGACAGAAGGACACTTTGGAGCTAGTCAGTAAAATTTAATGTATTTTGAATCAGTACTAATGGAAATTCTCTTGAATTTTTAAATTATTTTTTACATCTTGGTAGCCTTTACAGGCTGGCACAGTGGAAAGAATGGAGGTATCATAAAATTTTTCCACAGTGCCTGCCTGCCTGCTCGCCTGCTTCCTCTACAACCAGTGCATGCTGCCATAGGAATGGACCCACACAGATGACCTGAAGCTGGCTGTTAGGTTTCTGAACAAATTTCTTTTTACGGGATGAGGTTGTTAGTCTCATGCCCAACCCCCAACCTGGGGGACCAGGGTATCTCTCTTAGTCTGGCCTCTACCCCTTGACCTTTCTGGCATGGGTGACCCTACTGGTAGTTAAACTACTGCCGGCATAGCTCTCCAGGCCTGAGAGTCACACAAGCCCCAGTACCACAAAAAGGTGGAGACACCTTTGGGGGGATGAAAAGTGTGTACATGAGTTAGAAGATGGCTTCATGAAGATCGGCTTGGGAATGCAGGTAATACATTACATCAACCATCTGAGAGGCTGCAGTGCTGGTATTACTAAGGGGAAGCATTTATGATGTATGTCACTGAGATGACCACAGATGGAATGACACATACATAGGAAGTTTCATGACAATTCATTAGGAATTCATATAATACCAAGTGTATTACATCAACAGTTTGAGAGGCTGCAATACTGGTATTACTGATGAGGGGTTTTATGATGCACACCACTGAGATGGCCTCAGGTGGACTGATATAAAGACACCAAGTTACATCAAGACTGGTACACGCTTTCAAGCAATATTAAGGTTCTGTCTCAGAAATTTGAAAGGCTGCAAGGTTGTTATTACTAATTGGAGGGATTTATGATTATGTTGTTGAGATGGGCTGAGATGCCAAGTTTCATAAAGATTGGTTCAGGCATTCAAATGTTGTTAGGGGAGATACACATACAGACACACAGACAACAAAGTGATCTCATAAGCCTACTCTTATTTGTTCAAAATAAGGAAAGTAAGATCTTACTACTGTTAATTAAAACTTCCACTTGCCTGTCTCCTATCATTAGAGTCTTCTTGGGATCCACCTTGTGCCGTTTTATGATGGCCTCACATACATAAGGACTGGGTTTACCAATCTTAAATGCTTTTCTGTTTGTACACGTTTCCATGGCTCGGACAAAGGTACCTGTTCCTGAAACAAACGAAACTTCAATAATTTTAGGTAAACAACTTCCAGTGTAACTAACGTGTCACAACACATGAAACTGAAATGCATTTCCACGCATTTAAGAATACAGTGATGTGACATAATACACACATTTAATTTATGCTAATTCAACAATACATACTTGCAAAATAAAAAAATAGAAAATAAAAATTTAAATCATGTGATGGAGTGTCCAACATTGCCAACTGCATCACTTATATACTACGCAGACCATGGATGCAGTTAAGCCTGAAATGATCAATGCATGTTGAACTCTATGGAGTGAATGTGCACATGATTTTAATGTTTTCTTAACCACTGAAAATGAAGTGAGATGCACTGTACAGGTGGTAGGCAAGTGAAGTTTGTTGGTATCCTTTAGGAAGGAACTGAGGAATTAACTGAGGGCCACCATGAAACACTGATGAAATATTACATTGTGACATGAAATTGAAAGTTTGTTCACTACTAGGTCACAGCCAATAACCATGCGTCTGTGCAACAAAAATGCACACAACAAAAGAACTGTCTGCAGGAGTGTTTTCTACACATGCTGAAGCTATATAGTGAGGGCAAATGAGGCAACTCAGTTAAGCTTCTGTGGAGGCAGGTTCGAATACCTCCACCGCCATCCTGCGAGTTGCAGAAGTGATGAAAAGGGAATCCAGTGCTTGTAGGTATAACTGGGCTACCCTGTTCCTAGAGGACATAGCCCTCCAGTTTGGGGGAGTCTCAAATCTGAGAAAGGAAAATATGGTCATGAGTCTCATAGGATAATGCAAGAATGACTGTGCTGGCAAGGACCAGCAGCAATTGTAAATGACAGACCTGTCCCCTTGTCAGAGTGTGCGCCTCACATCCACAAACCTGCATCTGTCTGACATGAACAAAAATCTGGTCTTGGGCCCCAAACACCAAAATAGACTGACTGACCATCAGTCATAATATAACTTAGACTGACTAAGCTACAGCCATGAGAAGTTGCAAGACAGGCACCCGTCAGTATGGACATCAGTACACAAGCTGAGGAATCTACATTGCTGGGAGCCATTACCAGACAACAAATGGTGAAAATACAGGATTTTATGTGTGCTATAGTGCATTGATTTGTAGAGTGTGTAGATCCATCTATAGTTACAAGTTATAAGGGTCCAATAAATCCAATTAGCAATCCAAACTGTGTCTAGTCACTAACATATCGCAATGTACATACATATTACAAAGTACAGACAAAAGCATGTACTTTTATGGGTTACTAAGGGATTCTCAAGCATAATTCTGACTATACGCAATTTTGGGTTTACACACCATTTTTAGAACACAACACCTACATAAGTTCCCAAAGTGTGGGAATACTCCCATCAGAGATGCTGCAACTGCAGTTAAATTGTTGCTATTATCTGTTCCTATATTTATTTTCTGTGAACTGTAATGAATAATACAAACACGATACTGCACAAATGAAAAGCATAATAAAAGATAAAGAATAATGTAAACACATTGCAGTGTCCAGTCATATGGAATAAATCTGGAAATAGTGTCAGGATGATCTTAAATCCAAGATCTACCTTTATATTCATACAGCTAACAGCGTTTATCTTTCCCTCACTAACCCCAGAGCTCATGTTCCATAATCTGTTCTGGCACGAGTAAAAGCTAAAGGTAAAGCTATCCCTGTAACAGGCCGTGAAGGGCCACAGGGTTGTGAGACGTCAAGGCTCCCANCAGAAAGATTCCTGGTATTCATTTCTATTGCAGGCTGAGTCAAAGCTGACTCAGCCCCAGGGCCACAGTGCAGATGGAAGGATTAGGAAAATTGAAAGATCAATCTCATCAGAACTTGAACCCGTGACCTTCCAGCTTGTAGCATAGTGCAACCAGATATGCTACCGGGCGCCCCAAGGAGAGGACTTCTGTGTTAAAAATGTTACAGCAGTCCAACCACTGTTTGCGAGGGCAGCCATTATGATTAACAGTGATTATCAGCAGACTTCAGTCTTAATGTATGAAGGCAATTCAGAGAGTGACATCTGGTGAGCAGTCAACAAAACAAGCAACAACAAAAAGTTATTATATATAAAAAACATGTACATGCTTAAGCTACTTCTCAACATAGTCACCACCAGAACTGAGGCACTTGTATCGAGGAATACGTTTCTGTGTGCCTGTACCAATAGGTCTGCTGCCTGTGAGCTAAGACACACTTTGACACCTTCCATCAACTCCTCATTATTGTTGAAGTCCTGTGATCCCAACCAGTTCTTCAGGTAGGTAAATGGGTGGTAGTTGCTCAGAGATCAGGGCTGTAAGGAGGGTGGTCAAACAACTCCCAGTTGAAGTGCTCCAGTACAAGCAACTGTATGCAGATGCACATTGTAATGCAGGAGCACTACACCAGATGTCAGTATTCTACATCTTTTGTTCTGAATGGCCCTACACAGTTTTTGTTTTCAGTGTTTCGCAATACATAACGTGGCTCAGCTCACATGCAGCAGACTTCTTCGACACAGGCATACAAAAACTTACTCCCCAATAGGAGAGTGCCTCAATTCAAGCGGTGACTATGTCGAGAAGTAGCTTAAGTACATACATATTTTTTGTATATAATAATTTTTTCTCACTGCTTATTTTCTTAACAGCTCATTGGAGGTTACTTTCCGAATATTACACATATGTCTAGTTTATTAATACTAATTTAGTTAAAAACACTCTTTTTGTGTTTATCAGTTGGTCCAATTGTTTCAGTTTGGAATACTCTAGATGAGAGATCAGTTCCTCACAAATAAATATGGTGTCAAAATTATTTTCAAAACAACATACTTCCAATCTCTCAATGACTTTCAAATTTAAGCTGCAAACTGTCAAGATCCTCATTAATTTGATATGCAACAACGTAAAGCATGTTATATTTTCTTTATACTTACACTGAAACTTTTTGTTTGGCATTACCAATCCATTCTACATTCTCTGCATCTGGCTAGAACAGAAGGATATTTGTCTGAAAGCCAATATAAAGCAGCTTCAATGCTAATCTGGCCTGCAAGCCAAAGAATGCACATCCCCAAACTCCATTATGTTTAACCGGAGCCACATATACTTCTTTTTTACTTACAAGTCTTTGCTGCAGATGAATACGCATCAATGAAATGATTATTGTATCCCAGAATGTGACACCACGTAGTCTGGTAGATGTATCATGGCATCATATCCAAAAGCACAGAAATATTCATTGTTACTGCCATGAGAACAACCTCAAATCTCACAGTGCATGAAAGGGATTTTGTTTCCATGTACAAACCACACTTTTAACATAAATAATTAAAACTTGCCCATTTCTCTACTGTTCTTTAATTTCCAGTACATCATACAGCAAAGTTCCTCAACATACCTTCCCTTTTTTCCTGGAAAATCCATTCCTGATGGCAGAAATCAACAATACATCAGTAACAGTCATAAGAAGGTTCTATTGCTATGACTGATTCTTGGGTAACTTAACACTGCTGTTCCACGTGCAGGGGTCATGAGTTGATAGAATGGTCACAATTTATAGAGAGGTAAAGCTGTGTGAAGGGTTAGTCATGACCGAGTTAAGGCACAACCAGTATTTGCCTTGAGATACTCAAGGAGAACAGTCTGGACAGTCTAGATTCAGTGCATGAACTTGCAAATACACAGACATGTTAACGCATTTTGTATCCTGTGGTATCTCACAACCTCCCATAATTAACATTCCAAACTAAGTTCACTGCTATTTAGCAACTAAAAAACAATGAGAAAGATGGACACTTGGACTGATCTCATTATACAGTGTTTATTCATGTACCTGGAACAGTCAGAGGAAACTCAGTGGGTAGGATCTCATCTGTGTTGGTTCCAATGAAGATACAGTTGGGCTGTTTGAGGTATGTTGCAGCCTTCACCATCTTGGGGAAGCTGAAGTGTTCATCAAAACCAACCACCACTGCTCCCACATCTTTATCAAGCTGAACTTCATTCCTTAGCAGCGAGGCCACATCACTGCACATGGGGTCTGGCTGACATTAGTTAAAGTTATCATTTGTGTTATTTAAATTAGAATCCTGAATAAATGGAAAATGTTTAATAATGAACTGATGTTCCCCCTCCCCGGTCAATAAAAATAACTCTTTCAGAAATATAACTTCAGACTCCATGCATGCACCAATTTCTTGGATTAAGCAATCTCTGAGGTTGTCATCTGATCAAAAAGGCTGGCAATTACAATTTCTGTGGCATTCTGCTGCGAAGCCATTATACACTTTTAAGGTGAAATACTCATATGTTATTATAAGCATGAATATTAAGAACAATGATATCACAAAAGTGGCCTCTTAGTATTATGTATGACATCCTATCACTAACGAACTTACCCTTTTAACTGCTGATAAGGTTCTCTTATGTACCAAAATTAACAGTTTAAAAATTATACTACAGAATTTGGCAATATATATTCTTCAAAATACTTTTTAACTGATTATTCTAATAGGTATACTTCCAAAGATGCATACACTTCGTCAGTACTAATGAGTGATACCAAGGAGGATGAGACAGTCTGGGCATATAACTTTAATTTGAGGGGGAAAAATGTTCTGAATCTTTGTTGAGAAATATATGAGTGTGTGAACTCCTGCAACCAATAAGATGTAAGGATAATATTACATAGAACTTCGAGAAATGCATAAAATTGTGGACTGAATTAGACTGCCTCAGGATGACTAAGAGCAGTTTCTGGCATTTGTGATGTTGAACCTTCTGGTTCAAATAGACTTGAAAGGATTCTGACGATGGTGTATACTGTACTTCTTTTGGCTTATTTTGGACTTCACCCATCGTCCAGTATATAAAAGACAAAAAACCACGACGTTTCGGAGACTGGATCTGTCTCCATCTTCAGGTGGATAGGGAAGGTTAAACCTACTCAGTTGGGCCCCTTAGAAAGAGCTAGTCTCAATCACTGGGTAGGTTTAACCTTCCCTATCCACCTGAAGACGGAGACAGATCCAGTCTCCGAAACGTCGTGGTTTTTTGTCTTTTATATACCGGACGATGGGTGAAGTCCAAAATAAGCCAAAAGAAGTACTTCTGGTTCAAGTACTGTATGAAAGGAGACTACATGAAATCCAAAAGTTTCTGAAATTTGAATTTTGCGCATGAATGGTTATGAGTACATCGAAATACTGCTAGGTGTCTCCTCACACATCCTTCTTGAATCAGTGTGGCAAGCAGCGTCGAGTTGAGTGGTTGGGTTTATTGTTGGTGAACGTATTTCCATTGTTGTGTTTCCATGAGTTTGCAGTTTTGCGATGGCTGACCTGAGAGAGCAGCGTGTCTGTATAAAGTTTTGTTTCAAACTTGAGAAAACCGCTGCAGAAACGCACCAAATGTTGAAGCAAGTTTTTGGTGAAAACAGTTTAGGCCAGACACAAACTTACAACGGTACAAGTGTTTTAAAAATGGCCGAACATTGACTGATGACAACGATCGTTTGGGACGGCCGTCAACGGGCAAAACACCAGAAAATGTCGCGAAAGTTAGGGATCTGATTCTGCAAGATCATAGATTGACCATCCAAGACCTCTGTAACACCTTGGGACTAAGTTATGGTACATGTCAACGAATTTTGTCGGAGGAACTGAACATGAGGAGGATTGCGGCGAAGTTTGTGCCACGACTGCTGCAAAATGAACGGAAGCAGCATTGCTTGGAAGTCTGCAGGGAACTTCAGCAACAGCTTCAAGAGGAGCCAAACTTTCTTTTGAAGGTTGTCACTGGTGACGAAAGTTGGGTTTATGGCTACGACTCTGAAAGCAAGCAGCAATCGTCGTAATGGAAGAGCCCTTCTTCACCTCGGCCAAAAAGAGCTCGACAAGTCAAGAGCAACATTAAGTCCATGTTGATATGTTTTTTTTTATTGACGGGATTGTTCATAAGGAGTTCGTCCCTCCTGGTCAGACAGTCAATAAAGAGTTCTATCGTGATGTTCTAAGGCGTTTGAGGGAGAACATGAGGAGAAAACGTCCAAAGAAGTGGCGCATGAACAACTGGGTACTCCACCATGACAACGCACGACCGCATACGGCTTACATTGTGCAGGAATTTTTGGCTAAAAACAAGATGGCAGTTCTACAACTACTGCTCTCTGCATTCCAAGCCATTCAACTGCTCTGAAGATGGAGGCGATACGTTCCTCCGAAACGTCGGCCAAAACGAAGAATACACGGCGCCTAAACCCAGAAGACGACTTTCTTCAAGATGGCAGTTCTTCCCCACCCACCGTACTCTCCAGACTTAGCTCCATGCGACTCCTTTCTCTTCCCCAAGATGAAAATCAAGTTGAAGGGGCAAAGATTTGATACAGCTGAGGAAATTCAAAGCGGAAACGCAGACGGTACTAAACACCCTAACAAAGAAAGACTTCCAGGATGCATTTGAAAAGTGGCAGAAACGCTGGGATCAGTGTATGCGCTCCCAAGGGGACTAGTTTGAAGGTGATGGTGCAGAATAAGATCTAGGTAAGATGTAATAGTTTTTATTAATATATTTTGGCAACTTTTGGATTGCACCACGTACTTACCCCAACATCCAAATGCTTGATACCGGCTGCATCAAGTTCTTGTGTAATTCCCTTTGATCCAACCACATACACTTTCTTCTTAAAAACTATATCTTGCAAGTAGCATGCAGTTAGATATGCTGTAGATAGGATGTTGTCCTGCAAACAGTAACTGCACAATACTTAATTCAAGTGAATTAATACCTCAATAAATATCCCTTACACTTATATATCAGTGGGAGAAATTGAAAGAAATAAAGAATAAGCAACATTACAACTCTATCAAGGTTCAGATTACTTTTAATAACGGGGACAAGTGTAAACAGAAGCACACAAACCCTTGTCGCTGGATAACCAAGCCTGCTGCATTTTGAAACAATTTCATCCCGTGTCTTGGAGCTGTTATTAGTAACATAAAACACTCTCTTCCCCATTTCCTGAAGTTGGATGATGACATTTGGAGATCCTAGTATCACAGTGTTTCCAAGCCAGAGGACTCCTGAATACAAAACTCTGTTTCATTCTACAATTCAATAAGTACTTACCATCACATGAAATTGAGTTACCTAGCTATTTAGAAATGTTGCTTGTGGCCTTAACCTATGGTCAACTTTGCCTTGAACTGTTGGAGAAAAATAATGTGGCAAACCTAATAAAATACACGCTTCATCGTTTTCTTTTGTGCCTTAAAGTATACACTGTACATAGTTTTTTCAATTCTTAAAGAGCTAAGTTCGGTGAAATCTGCGTGAAAATTTTAATGTTAAAAGAGGCAACTGATTGACAATACAAATTTGGAATGACACTTCACATCTTCGGCTGTAAATTTAAATATATTTCACATGAACACACTTCGGCCTACAGAAGAGTATGAATATTTTAAAGTTACTGCCTTTTGAAAACAAATCAATCATTCTCCAACCATTAGCACATTTCTGAAAATCACGAAATAGTCCTCAAAGTTAAAATGTTTTCCAAACTCTATTCACAGAAATGAAATCTGAACAACATAACCTATACAAGTGGCAAAGTTTTCAATCACGTGCACCTTCTTCTCTCACAATTCATATGTATGTATGTATCTATAATAATATTAATATTGATATTATACGTGCCATCACAGTCTGTTAATACAGTGTCAAAAGAATCTATAAAATTTGTAAATTCTTCTTTACTCAATGATGTCAAACTTACTGCCACCATATTCTTTTTGCTTAACTCTATTGACCTTGAAAACTTTGAATCGCTTGGCATCTTACACAGTTTTAGCTAGTTTTAGCCTCGAGAATAAAATATTAAATGCCCTGAAAGTTGCATTACTTTTGAAAAGTTTGCTAGTATACGTACTGGGTAAAAAGAAGCTCTTCGTAAAACAATCATATGATGATTACAGGCTCCACATCGGTCCACATTGTTAATGCACAAATAATAACAAAGAAACTGGGCACTGTTGATGCTATTCATATTGTTGTGTATAGACCCATTGCTAGGTTACGCACGTAACAGTGGTTACGCACTTAACAGTGAGATAAACACGTTTTATCTCGAAGAATACCATCATGGATTTCTTTTCCAGAATATTTTGTTGCTGTAAGACAAATAAAGTAAGTAAATATTTTTTTTACAGATTTATTATACATACTCGTAATCTGCAGAATCTGCAATAAATGAATATGCTCAATAAGGACTGGCTCGTGAATGAGTTATGCCCCATGGCGTAATTCATACACTCGTTTTTCTTCTTGTTCACGTCGGTATCATTTTAATTCTTTTTATTGAGGTTTTACTCACATCTGTATGGTAGAGTTCGGACGGTGTATCTTTTCAGTGTATGTCAAGTTTCGCTATTGTCTAGTAGGTTCACTGCTACTGCATTAGTGTGATTTTCTAATTGTCTTAAGTATTTGGTATTAAACTTTTTTATTTCACTTAGTAGTGTGTTCATTTGCAGAGCTTCATCGATTCTTCGGATTTTTATGTCCCAAGGTGCATTACAAATGGATCGAAGAGTCTTGGGCTGAAAGGGCTGGCTGATTTCAGTGTTGGAGAAGTAAATAAGGTAAAGTTGTCCCTGTTGTTAACTAATTAAGGACTACACCATGAAGACATATGGGGGAGTGGAAAAGTAAATAGTGTGATAGAAATAACCATTTTATGGGGATTTTTTGCCCAATTTTAATAAAAATTGGAATGTGTTGACAAAATTCAGTAAAATATCACATTTCATGAAAGTCTGTGCAGCATTTCTCCAACAGCTTCATAATAATAATAATAATAATAATATAATTTTGTTTAACATTCATCACAGTTACAAATTGTAACTCTCGAACAAGTCACATACACATACAACTTTTCCAGTCTAATTGGCCTCCTGTCCAATCGATTGACCGTCATCATATATCACATAACATAACATTCAGTTACAATTAAAATCACACTCTCAGTATAATTAAAATATATTAGGCACAATCAAATTTATGACTGCCTTCCATTATAAAAAACAAGGTCATCTTACTATATATATCTTAATTACTGCCATCATATTCTTAAACTTAAAACCTATTATATCAAAATAATCCACAAAAGATAAAATTCAATTTAGATAATGATTAAATAATTTGGAGTGCAGTCTCTTTTAAGACTTCCATTCCCTTTATAGGCTGAATCATATTAAAAACTTCACCTAATTACAAGTCATTTTATTTACACTTAAATCTATTTATCAAGGAGAATCTTATTTGTATAACTGTCCTTCTGAGAGGAACTCATGCAAATTATATCTTTTGAGTCTATGCTTTTACCATTCTTATTTCCAAAGGCAGTCTATTGTAAAGCTTAATAGCCATATGTGTAACACCCTTCTCATATGTTAAGGTATTATAACTTATTTCTTTCTCGTGTCATACTTATGTAGGTCAGAGTTTTTTGTGGTGTAAATATTATATTTCTTGAAATAACATAACACCTCTAAAATATACAAAGATGTTACCATTAAAATTTTTAATTCTCTAAATATAGGTCTACATGATGTTCTTTTTGTTGCCCCTTTCATTATTCGAAGAACCCTTTTTGCAAAATCAGAATTTTTTTTACTTTCACTTTCTCCCCCCCCCCAATATCGAACCATAACTTATTTGAGATTGGAATTTAGCAAAGTACATATTCCTAAGGA